CAAATAATTTTTCCAGTCTTTGGTAATGAAAAATAGAAAAATGTAATACTATCCCTGCAATCGAATAATAAAGTACCAAATTGATCCCGAGAATCCAAAAGAGCCAAAACCAGATTCTTACCGTGAATGAATAATGAATGAAGAGGTGCACACCAGGCTCTCCATCAACTTTGCAAATAAGACAGACATTTGGTAAAAAAATGTCATCTTTTGATCAGATTGTCAATAGTCAAAACCTTATTCATAGCTGCCAACCAAATAAATACCTGAACTTTATGTCGGATGGCCATTTCCATATCTGAACAATCTTAGGGTAGGACCATCTCCAACAATCATGAAATAACAAATTGTAACATGATTTAACAGATAACATCCCATCACTCTCAATCTCTCAAATCATCTTGTCCTCTACATTCAACGAGATATAAGCTTTATCCAGTATCTCCATCAAAGCATACCATTGGGAAAATACTATACTGCTCAAACGACTATACGCCAGGGAGACATTTCATGATGTAAGATTGCCCCTTTGTTCTACCGCCTCACTAACTTTCAGATCGGGCAGGTGACTATCCCAATAAAGCAGGGAAAACTAACTTTAATGGATAGTCTCCCGACCATTTATGATGTCATAAAGATATTTGTTTGCCATCACCTAAGTTCCACCTAAAGTATCTTGACACCATGGGCCTACAATTGTAGATAGCCTTCCACACCTGATATACTATTTTGCCTGTTCTACCCCCGAGCCAAACACTGCATCTGTCTATCACATACTTGACCAAAAGAACTTTAAACCAAATATGATCCTTCAAAAGGATACTACACTACCACCATTTGCACATCAAAGCGTGGTTTACCAATCTAATCTTCGAAATACACAGGCCACATTCTCTCTTGGGAGTACAAACTTTATCCCATTTTAGCAAATGAGATTTCCTGTTTTCAGTAGTGGAGCCCCAAAGAAAATCCCGCATTATTCTTTCTAGTTTATTTGCAACCGAGGCAGGCATATTGATAAAAAACATTTGGTAAACCAGAAGATTAGATAAGCAAGTTCTCAGTAAAGTCACCCTTCCACCCAAAGATAAATACTTGTGCTTCTAAATAACTAATTTGACTTGTATTGTTTCAAGCACAATATCCCATACTGCAATAGTAAGTTGCGAATCATAAATGGGAAAACCCTGATGCGTAAGGGGAACGAAACAACCTTGCACCCCATCAAATTAGCCAGATCCATTATCACATCCTCTGCACAATTAATCCCAACTATAGATGATTTATGAAATTTGACTTTAAGGCCTAAAGTATCTTCACAAATCTCTAAACATCTGGCAATATTAGAAACCTGAAGAGCTTCGCATCACATAACATTAGAGTGTCATTAACATACTGTAAATGGGATATAATAATGCTAGAGTTAGAAATCTTAAAATCTGCAAAATGACTCAAACTTTCTACCCTGCTTAGCATCAAGCTGAAAAATTCAGCATAAATTGTGAATAAAAATGAAGAAAGGGGATCTCCTTGATGCAAACCTCTGGAGGCGCTGAAAAAACCAATAAGACTTCCCTTAAATAAAACTGAGAAATGTGCAGAAGAGATGCATACAAAAATCCAACACTGTCATTTATTACCAAAAACCCATAGCCTTAAGAATTTATAGTAGAATACCCCATTCTACCCTGTCATAAGTTTTCTCCATATCCAACTTCAGAAGAATTCCCGGCTTTTTACTTAAAACTCTAGAGTGAATATATTCTTGTACCACAAGTACACTATCTATGATTTGACGGTCCTGGATAAAGGTTGATTGAGTACTATAAATGAGAAGAGGGAGGACAACTTTTAATCTTTCTGCCATAACATTTGCAATAATTTTGTAAAAACTAATCAATAAGCTAATCGATATGATATCTGAAAGGCCATAAATGGTGCCATTTTTTGGAATCAGAGCCAAAAATGTGGAATTAACCCTTTTAAAGATTTGTCCCTATCACGTAAAGCTTCTCACCAACTCCAATAATTCCCCTTTAACCACATTCCAAAATCGATGGAAGAAGGCTAGAGGGAAACTGTCAGGTCCTGGCGCCTTGTCCCTTGGCAATGCAAAAACTACTTTATGTAATTTCTCTTTAGTAACCTCTCTTTCCAGCCCAGCTTTCATCTCCATCGACAATATTTTGAATGGGACTCTATTAAAAAATTGTGTGACTTTAATTTCTTTAGTAAAAGCCTTTTTTAAATGATTTATCACTGCACCTTCCAGTGCATTAGCATTCCATAATCCACACCAGGTTTAGATAGGTCAAAGAGATTATTTTGTCTTATTCTCGCATTGGCAATTGCATGAAAATTTTGATATTGAGATCTCATTCTTTTAGCTATTTTGATTTGGATATTTGCCTTCAATAATTTTATTCTAATGTGTGTAGTTCATCCAACTATTTACAGTTCAGATTAGGTTCCATAACCAGCTGCTCAAAAAGTACTCCAACGTCTTGGACCCTATGATCTAAAGCTTCAATATCTGATAAAACCCCGTCAATTTTAGCCTTAGTATCAAACTTATTGTCACGCTTCCAGGCAATCAATTTATGTTTGATGTTTAACAATTTTTCATGCAATTGAAAATCCAAAGTACCTTCCACCACAGTATTAACCCAAGTAGCTATAATCAATTCAACTATTTCCTTCTCCTCCAACCAACTCACTTATAACCTGGAAGGTTTTGGCCCCCTTTTTAAGAGTCATGTATTAAGCATAATAAGACAATGGTCAGATGATAATTTTGTCAATGCCCTAACAGTAGATAGGGGGAAAATTGTCCAACCATTCAATCGGGATTATAAATCTATCTAGTTTAGATATAGACAGATTAATTTGGTACCTATAATAGGGGATCCATGAAGGAATTGCTCTCAATAAAGCTATTAAACATTCTCATAGATGTATTAATAGGGGTACCCGCTGAACATTTACTCGGCCATCGAATTAGAATTACCCTACTAGTATTTTCAAAAAGTAGAGTATGAGCTTTGAGCTCTTATTTAGACTTTGATAGATTAAAATTAGATGGTCTCTATTCAATTTTAAGCCATTTTTTTTTAAAGTAAACATATTTTGTTTTTCTTTTCTTATTTTTTTCGGGAATGTTAAATTCCAAAAATTTAGTGTCATATGGAATTTTAGTTTTAACCCTATATATATATATATATATATATATATATATTCAATCAACTCCCCCATAATCACCATTTGGGATTTTTTTTCCCATCAAAATGCTCAAAATACCAAGCGTTGTTCATGTGTTAATTTCAAAACTCGCAACTAATTATCGTCTATCTTTTATTTAATTAAAAAAAAAACTTGAAAGATGATAAAAAAATTATTGGCTTATTTTCAGCCATCAAATCAAGATTCAACCTAATATAAATATTCAAACACTCGGATTGAACAATGCACATGTGTATTACCAGATTCTCAAAATATTGCCGCTTCGACTCCGAACCACGTGACCTGAACCAAGACTAGTAGGGGCCCAGTTCGAGCCCCTCCCAAAATTGGGAAGACCAAGGGGTGTAGAAACACCTTCGAAATTAATATTATTAATTCAAAACCAATATTTCAAGAACGTACGAAATTCCTATACCTTGATTTACCTCGTATTTATATTTTGTTTTTACTTCGACCTACTTGTTGATCAACTTGTTCGACTCTAAATGAGGGGTGATCGTAGGTGTGGCAATGGACCCAACCAGACCTAGGACACGACATGTATATTATTTCCCGTATATAACTGAATAATAAGGGTATATGTTGGTATTCATAAATATTGTCAATACGTTTGTCTCTTAGGAATTTCCAGTTATCACATAAAGCAATAAGGAATGTGGCTATATGTAATATGTAGGTATTTATAAATGTTGTGCAATACTGTAAACGCTACCAATAGTATAAATATACGATGTTAAAAAAAAAATGGGCAAAAAAAGAAAAAGAAGCTCATAATCATAGGGTAACAATATACCCGACCAGACTCGGGACCCAACGGGAAGACCCAACCTTGAGTCTAAGTATGGGCCCAAATTTTTGTACCAAAGGACAGGTTCGGGTCCAACATTGGACTTGAATACTATTTGGGTATGGGTCGAACTGGACTCAACTTGTTGCCACCTTAGGTGATCGGTTCGACCCAAGGGTTTTTTTTTTTTTTAATTAAGATTTTTAAATATTAGTTTTTTGAACATGAGATTTTCAAATATTCATATTACCCATTATCTATAGGGTGTGGTTTGTATAGAGCCTAGGCTCTAAACAATCAAATTATAGCCTACCTTCAAATAATGTCGAGAAATGTGGTTTCATTGCCAAAAATCTCTGTAATAGCTTTAAAATATATTTTCATATTTATTTATAAAGTTTAAAGCTTAAAAAATAGTGTTGATCAACATATCCATGAAAAGTCGAAATCTCGAAAATTGATGGTAAATAAATGTGTTACAAAATACACTATTTTCAAAACTTGAAATCTGTTTTTTGTTATGTCCATGCATCTTGATGTCAAGATGATCAATTTGAAGATATTTGGGCATCAAAACAACTTCTTCTAGTGAATTTTTGGAGGTAGGCTATAATGTGATCGTTTAGAGCCTCGGCTCTATATAAACTTTTCCCTTATCTATATCAAGCCTTCCGATTTAGTTAAAATTCAAAAACAAAAAAATAGTTTTGCCATTTAGTTACATTTTTTTTTTTTTGGAAACTATCCGTTTGTCGACAGCCTGTGAGTATCATGCATGACCTAGTTCTCGATCAATCCGAAATTTTAATCGGACGGTCCAAATTTATAATTTCTCCCAAGGAGCCGATAATGACCGTCCATTTCAAACGACAAAGGCGCCCCAGCATTCCACTCATTAAAAAAAAGGAAATGACATAGTTGGCATTTACTTATTTGGAGGTTATTTCCGTACTTATCTTCTCTAACTATAAATTCTGAGTTCATTTTCCCGCCAATTTCGCAGCTTTAAGAGGAGAAACCCTAGTCCCACTTTCTTTCACTTCATTTCCGGTTTTCTCGCTCTATTCGTCTCCATTTACTGCAAAATTTTTTCAAAAACAGGTAAACTAACGATGACATGTCGTTTAAAGATCAGCTGATTCCTTGATATTTCGCATTTTATTTTATTTCCTTTTTTATGTTTTTGTTTTTCGGGTCATTTGGTTGGAATCGGGGGGTTGGAGGTGCAGAAACAAATGCGAGAGGGTCCATGATTTCGCCTGCATTTATTGTTTGTTTTAATCAATTTTTAAGTGGTTTAATGGTGATTTATTATTGTTTGTTTTAGGGTTTTTGCTATAAATAGGAGATGGATACAGAGCTGTCAATGAAGAATGAGACATCAAAGGATTCCCCAATATCTGTATTGGAAGACGAGGTTGGTCTTGATTGTTTATCATTCTTTAGGGGTCACATTTTTTGGTTTTTTTCTTTTTAGTTGTTTTTTCTCGTAGTTTAAATTTGCTATTATTTTGAGCCATTTTTCAGGCTGCATTTGGTGTATCTGTTTTTATATGATGCCTAGATTTATCATGCTTTTTTGATAGTGAAGCATTTTGAGCTTTTCATTTGATGCATTTGCTGTATTTATGGAGCATACTTGAACCATGTTTTCTTCCTATTGAATCATTTTTTAGGCCTACATTTGATGTGCTTGTCGCCCTTTTACAACAGACATTGTGCCTTGTTAAATTGTGCCGTTTTTTCCATATTCTATGTGGTATGTGCTCCATTTGTTATTTTGAATGGTTTTCTTCTCTAGAAAAATGGGTTTCTCCTGTGTTAATTTCTAGTAAATGGTAGAGAAATTTGTTTGCTATTTATTCATTTTCCCTAAAAGATGAGATGCGCAAAACAAACACATGGTTTGCATGGGTTGCTTTGTATCATTTTTCTTCTTTCTGATAGTTGCTGTATGATGCAAACTCGATGTGTACTCATCCATGTTTTTCGAAAGATTTTATTTTTCCTTGTTTCATGTAATTGATTTCATTATTTATCATTTAATATGTCAAGATTCTATATCCCATTTGCTTTAGAAATTAAATTGTTGTGTTGCACTTGTTTATTTTTAGATGGGGGGATTAGTGAGAACATGCTTGCGTGCGTTAGCTCAAAAGAGCAAAGGCAAGCAGTTATAAGAATGGATAATATTAGTCTGTTATTATTACTACGATTGATGTAAACGTTCTCTTTATCACCTTCCTTTTCATTTTGCATTGTTGAATTTTCTAATTAACGTTTATTCAAATTCAACTGTTGTTACTTATTTGAATTGGGTTCTGTTTTCTCTTTTTGAAAGTTTCAAGAACTAATTTGTAGGTAGGAAAAAAATGTTTGACTGAGCCTGCCCTTAATGAATTTTGCAGGGTTTATGCACAGGAGAAGTGAATCTTGCATGTGAGGGAGATGCTATTACATCACTATATGCAAAATTTGGGGATACAACTCTAATTTCGGAGGCTATGGTCAAAGAAGAGGCGGACTTACACAAGGCGAGAGAGAGCGAGGAAAACGAAGAAAAGAATAAGTCAAGGGAGCCTGGGGAATCAAGCCTATCAAGTTCCAAATTCAGTAAATTGGATGAGCTTCTTACACAAACCCAGCTCTACACTAACTTTCTGTTTGAAAAGATGGATGACATCACCTTTGTAATATCTCAATCCATTTATTTTTTCCTTTTTCCCATTATAAATAAAAAATGAAAAAGGGATATTATTAAGATTGCCAACAAAAGTTCACTATGGAAAAAAATTTTATTACACTTCTAAATAACATAGATACCCATGAGCACCAGCAATCCACTTGCTTGCATTGACTTCGTTGAATTTTTAATGACTCCACAGAATGGAGCCGTGACCACAACTGTAGAAACTGCTTCCTCAGGGAAGGGTGGAAGAGGAAAAAAGAGGAAGAAAGCTACTACATGCAATACTGTTAGTTTTCTTATTGATGTTTTGATTGAAATTTTTTGGAGCATGTGTGACTCTATCATTTAAGAACTAGCTGTTGTTTGAATTGTGTTCCAATTTAAGCTATTCATTGACGAAATTCATGGATACACACATACACGCACAATATATATCTTGCTGCTAACACAATAAATGGTATAAATGTAAAAACTCTGCTTATGGAGTAATTGCATAATCTGTTCTGTTCTAGTTCTTGGCTTGTCTGTTTGTCACACTCCCTTTATTAGATATTCTGGTCGTTTTCCTTTTCCAAGTCCATTTGGCATTCTTATACATTTTCAAGCTGTTTCTTTATGTCGTCTACTGAAGTGTGATTATTTGTTTGTGTGGTGTAAATTCTCAATCTACTTGTCTACTGCATGATCATCTACTTGTCTACTGCATGATCATGAGTATATCATGTCTTATGTGGGGAATGATTGTATTGTGACCATTAGAATAAAGCAAGGAAGGCTGTTAATTGCATGCTTGCAAGATCGCAAGATGAAAATGGTGATGAATCTCAGTTGACCAATGAGGCAAAAGCAGAGAAAGAGGCGCAAGCAGCAAGAGAGCAGGCAGAGATCGCGCCTTTGTTGACTGGTGGAAAGTTGAAGACTTACCAAGTGACAGGTGTAAAGTGGATGATTTCATTGTGGCAAAATGGACTCAATGGGATATTGGCCGATCAAATGGGCCTGGGAAAGACCATTCAGACGATCGGCCTTCTTACTCATTTGAAAGGGAAGGGTTTGGATGGTCCTTACATGATAATAGCTCCCCTTTCTACTCTGTCAAACTGGGTGAATGAGTTCTCTAGGTACCTTTATTTATGTTTCTTATTCTCTGGGCATGTCTTGTTGTGGACAGTTTTCTTATAAAATTTTAATTGAACAAGTAAAAAAAAATGACTCCGGATATCTGCTTTCTAGGTTTGCTCCCTCAATTAAGGCTATGGTGTACCACGGGGATAAGGACGAGAGGTTGCAGTTCAGAAAGAATCACATGCCAAGAAGCATAGGTCCTGATTTCCCCATCATTGTTACTTCTTATGAGATTGCAATGAACGACTCCAAATTTCTGTCTCACTTCACCTGGAAGTACGTTGTTGTTGATGAGGTACTTGTTTAAATTAAGATACCATTTTGACATTTATTTTGTTGGTTTCTGTGTTTCCTCACCAATGGCATGTTGGTACTCATACGTCTAACTAACAACCCTTTTCTCCAGGGTCACCGCTTGAAGAATATGAACTGCAAATTGCTCAGAGAGTTAAAACGAATACCAATTGAAAATAAGCTTCTTCTCACTGGAACTCCTTTACAGAACAATTTGGCAGAGCTTTGGTCTTTATTACACTTCATTCTTCCAGATATTTTTTCATCCTGTGAAGAATTTCAATCCTGGTATGTGTTATTTATTTGCATCTGCTAATTGCTAAATGATGATTTTATTGATACTTGCCAATATGATTATTTTGGGTATTTTTAACTTCAATATGAATGAAGGTAGGAATCCTAGATTGTAGGAGTGCCTTATCAAATTTTTTGAGGCTAGATTTATGGAGAAAGTGGAGCAAAAGCTTGAATGCAGAAGATTTTAAGTATTACTTCCATCCTTTGGAGTATGGTTGTTCGTGCGGTTGTTCCTTTAAGGAGAATCATGCTCTAGCATGAATATCATAAACAAATACTTTGCATGCATTGTACGTAGCTTAACTATTGGATGTTATTAAATTGATCGAGTCGAGTGAGTTTTCTTTCCCGGTGTCCCTCTCTGTTCTATATTTGAAGGCAGGCATTATTTTTTAAGAATGACACCTATATTGTTCCAGAAATAGAAAGATACATCTGCTCTTTCATTGATGTACTGAATTAACCATCTTTCAAATAATAATTCTTAATATTATTGGTTTTTAGTAGGCTTGCTCATGGGCATAGTATTGCTTCATGGTAATAATGAACCTGAGTATGTGAATCGGTCCAAATATAGGCTGCCTTTTTCTGTGTATGTGTGTTCTTATATTCATTCAATCTGTTTCTGGTGTTTTCGTGCGTATTAGTAGCTTAGGGAAATGCTTTTCTCTTTATGGATTCGTCTATATTTTAAATGTGGGCTTATTGCTTTGGAAATCTCAAGAAATCTTTCATTTTTTAATTGAAAAATATTTTGGACATGTTGTGTTGCTAACATGTACTTTGTGGACACCTTCAAGTTGTGTTTATGGAGATGTTCATTTTAGTATACTTCATTTCTTTCTTCATTAGTGCTCTATTTAAATTTATCAATTGAGGTTTTTTTGACAATGGTAACATAACTCACTTGATACCAAATTTATTCAACACCAAGTCACTGGAATGGTTGGGTTCCATCAAGAAAATTTGGGTTGTCGAACTAGATTGACCACGACTTGGTTGCCTTTGTTTTGTTCAGATTTGCAAATATACAACATTTGACAATATTTGCATTCCTTATTCTGTTGAATGGAATAATACTTAAAAGATTAATAGGTCTCCAGTGCTATGAAACTTCATATTAGTTTATGGTAAAAGTAACAAGTGGTGTGGGACACTATTAGGAAGAAAAATGGTTGAGCCACCAAGTTGTTGACCTCTAAAATTAAGACTCCTGCATTCAATGAAGAGAAACAGCTACATTCATACTGTTACCACTAGTCCTTGTCATTTACTGATCCCTGGCAGGTTCAAAAGAATAGCAGTTTGGTTAAAAACAACAACTGTTATAACCATTGTTGAAGAGCTTGAACATGGTGGTTGACTTAAGTAGCGCTTCATCTAATTCTACTCGATCTGAGTTGAACAGTAAGATCGGAAAAAATTGGCCTAGTTCAGAGTTTTCCTAACTTAAAAATAAAGCTGGAAAAAAAAACATAAACAATATCACGGGGGGAATTCTAACTTGGATCGTCTGCAAAGTAGAGCAGCACTTGTACCACTCCTCCAACTCTCACTTTGCGATAAAATGACAAAAATATATTTAGGAAAAAAATGGGTTAAATCCTTTTCCTCCAAGTGTAAATAAAGGTAAGTCAGCAACTTAAGTCGATTGGTGAGTTTCTATAAGTTGAAATCGAGCTTTTATTTACTGTTTAAAGCACTATTGGATCCAATTATTGTGATGTATAAAGCTAGGAGGGTTTTTAGACTTTAGAAGCATTCTGTCCAACAATTATTGGCCATTTTACTCAATAAAGTGGCGGTTATGTAAAGGTCTAGCACTCATAAAATCATCTTTTCAATATATTATGTAAGAACGGAGACAACATTTGTTATTTTAAAAAATGACAAAAATAATGTTATTTTTTATTTTATCTATTATAAGTAATCTATTTGTCAAATGTTTCCACTGTTATATCATTTTCTTTTGTGATTTTTCTATTTTGTTTTTATGTTCTACTACTCCATCTTTTCCATTTTGTGATTAAAAGTGCTTTTCTTGATATAACGATCATTTCTACTATAAAAACAAAGAGCAATACTTTTCCTTCACAATATGTATGTTTTTTGAACTTTGTCGGAGAGTAACAGACTTGTTGCAGTCTTCTTTAGCTAAGGAAGGCCTCTTCATGCTTTTGTTTGGAGTTGATTCTCTTTGGGGGAAGATGCTAAGTCTGAATTTTTGACCATTACCATTACATTAGCAATACACCTATCATCATTATCATCATTAGAGCCTTATCCCAACTATTTGGGATTGCTACATGAATCCTAATCTTCCATTCTGCTCTATCAAGGGCTGCACCCTCATTAAGACTATAAGTTCCCATATCTTTTTTTACTACTTCAATCCTTGTCCTTTTAACCCTTCTCTTTGCCCTTTTAGAGTCTTCTATTTGAATCAAATTGCACCTCCTAACAAGTGTTGTATTGGGTCTATGCTGTATATGGCCAGCCTATCTAAGTCTACTTTCCCTAATATTGTCGCCTAATGGAGCCATCCCTAAGTTCCCTTGAATATATTTATTTCTAATTCTATCTGTTCTTGTCTTGCACTCATCCATCTCAACATTCTCATCTCTGCTACACTTATCTTATGGTTATGTTGTTTCTTGAACGCCCAACATTCCATCCCACAAAGCAAAGAACTTCGCCTTCAACTTCATTGGTATGCAGTGATCACATAAAACTCCAGTTTCACATCTCCACTTTGCCCACCTAGCTCTAATTTTATGTGCGGCATCTTCCTCAATCTCTCTATTTTTTTGGATTATTAAACCAAGATATAGAAAATACTCTCTTTTAGGGATTTCGAAGCCATTAATATTAACTCTTTAATTATTACTAAACTTGCATTCTATACATTCTGGCTTAGTCCGACTATTTAAAAACCTTTAGATTTTCCAGAGCATTCTTCCAAAGTTCTAACTTTGCATTGATGCCACTTCTAGTCTCATCGATCAAAATTATGTAATCGGCAAACACATACACTACAATATCTTATCTTGCAGATGCCTAGTTAACTCTTCCATAACTTAAACAAAGAGATATGAGCTCAACGTTGACCCCTGATGTAGGCATATTGTCACCAAAAACCACTTGTATTTCCACTAGTATTCCACTCACCAGTTAATGTTTTTTCGTACATATCTCCCACCATATCAATATAGCATCTAAATACTCATTTTCTTTTCAACACTCACCAAATTAAATATCTAGGTACCCTATTGTAAGCTTTCTCTAAACAATGAAAACCATGTAGATATCATTTCTCTTATCTTTGAACTTCTCAATCAGTTGCCTAAGTAAGAAAATAACCTATATTGTTCCCCTGTTTGACATATAACCAAATTATTTTTTTGATACACTCATTTCATACCTTAGTCATTGCTAAAAAACTCTCCCAAAACTTCAAAGTGTGGCTTATAAGTTTGATCCCTTGATCACCATCATCATCATCGTCATCATCATCACCATGGCCTTTTTGCAATTAATTGGGGTTGGCTACACAAATCCTCGTCCACCATTTTGCTCTATTAAGGGTCATACCCTTAGTGAAGCCATAAGTTCGGAAGTTTGATCCCTTGATAGTTTTTACAATTCTGTATGTCTCTTTTGTTCTTGTAAATAGCTACCATAGTACTTTTCGTCCATTCTTATGGCTTTTTTTTTTTTTTGTTCTCGACACTTTGTTGAGCAACTTGGCTCACCAACATATGCCAATCTTCCCAATGCACTTCCAAACCTCTATCGGGATACCATGTGGTCTTAAAGCCTTTTTTATTTTCATCCTCCTCAAAAGCTTCTTTTACTTCGGATATCCTAATCTTGCAAATGTATCTATCACCTCCACCCTCATTTATCCCAAAAGTTTCCTCCTAGCGTTATATTTCCATTGTGTTTGTCATTTAGCAATTTTTGAAAATAAATTCTCCGCCTCTTGTTGACCTCGTCATCCTTCACCAAGACCATCCTCATTCGTACTGCATTTAATATTAGTCTAGATCCATTCCTCTCTTATTTTTGTTTTTTTGAATACATCTTTTTCAGCTTCTCCCTTCTTCTAAGTTTATTGTGTAAATTATCATATGCTTTAAGTTTAGCCAACCTTGCTATTTTCTTTGCATTTTTATATTCTTCTAAGTTTTGATCATTTTTATTAGTTTGCCAAGTTTTATAACGTTTGTCTTTCGTTAATGGCTTTTTGAACCTTGTTACTCAACCACCAAGTTTCTTTATCGGAATTTCTTTTTTCTCAAGCTTATCTTAACATTTTTTTTTGCCACTTTCTTAATACAGTCAGCCATCTCATTCTACATGACATTAACTTCGTGTTCATAATACTAATTTCCTTCTTTTACTAATTTATCCTTAAATAAGTCTATTTTCTCTTTTTTAAAATTTCACCACCAAGTTTTTGGACAGCTACTAATTTGGCTCATTCTCTTCCATCTCTTTATTGCTGACATCCAAAACCACGAGCTTATGTTGTGTGGTCAAATTCTATCTTGGGATAACCTTGCAATCTTTACATGATGGTCGATCTATCTTCTTAACTAAGAAAAAGTCTATCTGACTTTTATGTGATCCACTGTTGTAAGTTACTAAATATTCATCTCACTTTTTAAAGTAGGTTTTTGTTATTGCTAAGTTGTAGGCCATAACAAAATCTAGAATAGTCTCATCCATCTCAATTCTTTCCCAAAACTCTATTCCCATGTACCTTTTCATATTCTCTATTATCATTCCCTACATGACCATTTAAGTGCCCTCTTAAAAAAGTCCTCTCTTCATTTGGTATGTCTTGGACTAGTCCATCCATGTCCTCCCATAATTGTTTTTTAATTAAGTCCTTTAGTCATCTACCTGTGGCATATAAATACTAAGTATATTAATTATCTCCTCCCCTAATACATATTTAATTAATAGGAGCCTATTATTTACTCTCTTACATATTTAATGGAATCCAATTGTTTTGGATTAGCTTCTTTACTTGCGCTCGTCCAGAATATTGTGGGAACCCTTGCATGTTTTTTCTCTTCAAGCTGGCAGCGTTGTTGCACGTTGCTTCTGGGGAACGCCCTAGCTAACCCTTGCTCATTTCTCATTGTTCCTGGGCTTCGATACAACGTGTCCCTTATAGGGAACACCCTAGCATGAGCAGATAACGTAGATTCAGGATTTTTGAAAAGTTATGGCAAAGTTTTATGCTGTTTGCCTACCTAACACAGCCCTCCTGCTTTACCTGGGCTTGGGACCGGCGTTGACAGGAAGGGGCTTGGCAAAGGCGGAGTTTGTTTGAATTTATAACATCAGAAGATGCTTTTGCTTGAAATATGTTGATACTTCAGTGCCATTTGTTCGCTTTATTGAGAAGAAACTGTATGTGTTTTTTTCTTCGTTTATTGATGAATAAACAAATACTTACAACAATGTTGCTGTAAAAAGACTTAGAGAGTCACTAGTAAACCGACTGATCCATACTTCTCCCTTCTCTCTGATTCAAGGATAGACTTCTCTTGAATGTTGTATTGCAATAGCTAGACATGGTCTTTTTTTCATAGTAAACCACTGTACAAAACATGGTGGGCATCTTTGGGTTTCTTGCAATGATTCAAAAAGCGGACCGCCCAACGCCTAGGCGAAGGCGCATCGCCCAGGCCTAGGCAGCCAATCTGGACGGTTGATCCCTAAGCGGTTGTCTAGGCGGTACGGAACCTGCCTAGGTGGGCCCCAGCGCCCAGCCTTGGGCAGCTGCCCAGGGCTTATGTCCCGCCTATGGGTGGAAATTAATTTTATTAGGGGCAACTTTGGTCTTTTTTTATGTTTTTCAGGGCAAAAAATTAGGGTTTTAGATTCATCTGAACCTTAAAACTTGTTGGAGCCAATTTTAGAGAGAGAAAGCCCCCAAAAATCTAGTTTTTGGTGAATTTTTTAAGATCGAAGGGTTTATCAAAGTTAACAAAAATTGATCAAAACATCACCCATTGATATTAGATTTACTCTTTGATGTTTTGCAAAGTTATTAGGGGTTTTTTTTAGAAGATTTTAAGTATTTAGAAGCATCTTTGAGGTGAATGTTTGAAGATTGAGCAATCACACTCAAAGTAAGTGATTTTTTTTTATTGCGTTAGTAATTTGCATTATTTTTGAGATGTCTTCTTCGGGATCTAATATGAGTGGTGATTCCGGTTGGAAATATGGCTATAACCCAGATCTTAATGATAAAAATTGCATACGATGCAAGTCTTGTGAAAATGATATAAAAGGGGGCATAAACCGGTTCAAAAAACATCTTGCCGTTATGCCCCCTATAGCAGAGATTAGGTTTGGGGTTTGGGTCAATTTTGATGATGATGATAGTGATGAGAAAGAGGAAGGATGTCAAGAGGTTGAACAATCCATTGTTAAGGGAAATTGGAAGGGAATTGTAATTACTTCTGGTTTTGGGACTAAGAAGTCTCGGGTTAGAGGCTCTATGGATAGTTTTTTACCTCAGCCTGACCTTGAGGTTGCAGGAGAGAAAACAAAAAAGTAAACCACCATTGAAAATAAAATCAAGAAGGAAGAGAGAGATAGAGTTGCGTATTATCTTTCTACATGGTTTTATGAGGCGGGCATTCCTTTCAATACCCCTTGCTTAAGCAGCTTCTATACTGTAATAAAGGCGGTTGGCCAATTTGGCCTTGGGATGAAAGCCCAACCCCATATGAGCTTTCAGAACCGTTTTTTGAAACGACAGTGAGTGTCACGAAGGAAGCTGTAGAACTTAAGAAAGATGCATGGGCTCAGTGTGGGGTTTCTATTATGACCGATGCTTGGAGTGTTAGGAAAAGAAGAAGTCAAATGAATTTGCTTGTGAATTGTTCTGCAGGGACTGTCTTTTTGAGGTCTATTGATGCCTTTGATCATATCCATGATGCCTATTACATATTTCAAGTGATAGAGAAGGAAATCAAGGAGGTCGGGGAGCATCTTGTTGTACAGGTTGTCACAGACAATGCTGCTCCTAATGTTGCTGCATCTAATTTGTTGTGCATAGCTTATTCTAGAATCTTTTGGACACCATGTGCGACATATTGTATAGACCTCATGCTTGAGGCTCTTGGCGGTTTAACCGAGATAGCAGGTGCAGTAAAGAAGGCCAAGTTGGTTACAAATTTCATTTATAGCCACTATCTCACCCTCAACATGATGTGTAACTTTACAAAGAAGAAAGAGATTGTGAGCCTGAGGTCACGAGATTTGCGACCTGGTATTTATGCCTAGATAACATGCATTCAAGAAGAGTGCAGTTGAGGCAAATGTTTATCTCAAATGAGTGGAGAGCATGCAAGTGGTTTAAGGATCAGGTTAGGAAGATGGTGAGAGATGTTATACTTTCTAAGGCTTTTTGGAGAGGGGTGAAGGGCGTTATTAAGGTATTTTTTCCTCTTGTCAAAGTCCTTCGCATGGTTGATAGTGACAAGCCTTTTATGGGCTACATATATGATGCTATGGAGAGATGTAAAAGAGAGATGGCCCAAAATTTCAATGATGAAGAAACCCGCTACAAGCTTGTTTGGGAGATTATTGATGAAAAGTGGGATAGGCAGCTGCATCTGTCATTGCATGCAGTTGGTTATTATTTGAACCCAATTTTTTTTTATATTGACAAGGATATACAAACAAATGACACAATTATGAATGGATTTAATGAGTGTGTAGAGGTGCTAGTCACTGATTCTGATATGCAGGATATTATATGCGCTGATGAGTCGATAAATTACAAGTGCTCATTAAAGTCTTTTGGAAGTTCAATGGCGATAAGGCAAAGGGCCAAAATTGATCCAGGTATTAATAATGTTCTTAAGTTCATCAAGTTCAAGTAATTCTATTCTTTATTTATGATTTTATTCTATATCTTTGCCGCCCATTAGTGGAGCCAACATGGGTTTAGTTCTCCAAATTTACAAAAGTTGGCCATTTGGATCTTAAACCTAACCGCTTCTTCATCCGATTGTGAGCGCAATTGGAGTACTTTTGAAGGGGTAAGGCCGTAAGGGTAATTTGTATAATTTTATAAATAATACATGAACCATAGATATTAGATTTTAATTAATTTCATTTGATTTTGTTAGATTCATACAAAGAAAAGGAACATGCTTGAATCAAAGAGGCTCAATGACTTAGTCTATGTCAAGTACAATCGATTCTTGAAGGATAGGTTTGCTAAGAGAGATAAGAGAGACCTCATCAGATAAAAAAATATGGACCATGCTATGTAGTGGTTAGTTGATGATGATGTGGTCGAGGGGCATGAAGGATTGACATGGGACATGGTCATGGATGCTTCAGAGACATCATGCTACAGAGATCTTCTGCATAGAGAACAAGGATGGAGGAAGAGGAGGAAGAAGAGGCTCATTCAGAATAGACGGAGGAGGACGGGGACAACCAATATGTCGAGAAGGGTGACGTCTCCGTTGACTCCGATGAATATGATGTCAATGAAGCTGACTCAAGATTTTTTGATGATGAATAAATGATGAATGTTGATTGTTGAATAATTATTGAACTTTGAAGTTTGAACTTTGATTGAAGTATTGTGTATTGAACTATTGAAGATTCTTTTGACCCTTCAAGTATTACTTTCATAGTTTCATAATTCAATTTTGTTTTCTTCCTCATGGTAGTATACTGCAGTGCTGGTATGATACTATTTGATAATTTGGTTTGATAATTTGGTTGGTTGTAAATTTTAAGTTTTAATTGGATATGGAGTATGAACCGACATATGTATTATGGTTATGTTTATGGAGTGTGTGCTAAATGCTAATATATAGTATAATTTGAATTATATACTGCAATACATATAATTGATACTGACATAACTGCATTGCAGAATCCTTATTTGGATTCAATTGGGCCGCCCAGGTTTTGGACGCCTGCCTAAACGCTGGGCGGCCTGGACCTCCCAGGCCACCTAGGACCCGCCTAGCACTTTTTGAAACACTGGTTTCGTGCATTTTTTGATTATATCCCCTTGCCTTTTCTCTCATTTGAGAGATGGCTTTGGTTCTCTCTATTCAGGTTAGGGTTTTGCTCTTTGTTGTTGCACTGCTGTTGAAACTTGAAATTACTTAAATTTTTTATGTAGTTCCAAGTTTCCAACTTCTTCTTCATCACTTGTCTTTGTCACGGTTTTGAGAGACAGCTCTAGTCATCATGTCAACAAAATTACCGGCAACCCAGATAAGTGGTGCTCATATATCAGCATTCTAAATTATTCTACTTGGCTTATTTGTTGTGATGAATGCACCTTGGTTGAATTGTGGAAAATATGCATCCTGTTTAATATTTGCATGCATGTTATCCTTCTTAACTTTGACAATGCAATACCACTTTTGTTCACTTTACTAAAGAATTAACTGATTTCTGATCTCTCCAAATGTTTTTTTAGGTAAAATGGCTTTAGTGACATGATAAGTTGATGGCTGCACCGGCTTGTGTTTTAGAACTTGTTTTCTCCTGTATGCAGCATTTGGCATTATTGTTATCTTTCTGTTTGATTTTTTTTTGTTTCTTTTTTAGGTTTGATTGGTCTGGGAAGTCCAATGATGAGACTCAGCATGAAGAATCGGATGACAAATGGAGGGTTCATGTATGCTTTTATTTGGATTTCCACACAGTTTTACTCACTCCTAGTTCTGATGTGTCATAACTATTGGTCACTTCGTTTGAAATTTATATGTAGAGCCCAAACGGATTTGCAGGTGATATCAAAGTTGCACATGATCTTGCGACCATTTCTGCTTAGAAGGGTAAAGGAAAATGTTGAGCAGAATCTTCCCAAGAAGAAGGAAATAATTCTTTATGCTAATATGACTGAACACCAAAAGAATATCCAGAATCATTTAATCAACAAAACTCTTGAGGGCTATCTAATAGAGAAGGCATTCCATGGTAAGCTGGTTGTTGCTGTTGTTATTCTATGCTGTAATGTCAGTCTAGTCTAGGTAATGGAAAATATATGGATAAAGTGAATTTGAGAAGGCCATGTGAAAGCCTTTATTTATTTATTTATTTCTAGCAGTCTTTCTCCATATTCCTCATTAGCTTGTATATTATTGTAATGCAGCAAAGGGCTTTAGAGCAAAGCTGAGCAATTTAATGATCCAGCTTCGCAAGAACTGCAACCATCCTGACCTTCTGGAATCTGCATTTGATAACGATGGTATTGCTGATATTTGCAAATTTGTAATTGCTCACACCCATTTATGTTCGCCAGAAATATGGAGCACAGCTAACAATATATATTGAGAATAATAAATAAATTCCCTTGTTCATTTCTGAGCCCTTCATAAAATGTAAATTAAAAAAGAAAATTTCCAATTTGTTGATGCATATTAAGAATAGGTTGATTCAAAATTTTTTATTTTTTATTTTTATGTTTTATAGATGTGGGTATTAATTTTTATAATTTTAATTAGTGGTTGGTTCTTAGTAGTTAGACTTGGGATTATTTTACATTTAAAATTTAGTTAGTCACTTGGTTCCCTAGGTTTTAGTTGGGACTTGGGAGTAGATTACGTAGGTGCTAAGGAAGGTCTCATTATGATGGTGTAGATATCCTATGATGGTGGGGCTTGATACTATTTTTATGGGATTTAGTGATTCCTAGTTTATAGGATTTTGTAGAGAATATGTTGGCTAGAGACAGAATATTTCCTAGATTGGTGAATCTAGATGGAGAGAAAGTAGTTGTTTAAAGATAGAGAGCAGGGAGTCACGTGAAGTTTAAAAAAAAAACAAAAAAATTTAGGAAGATTTTTATGGTGCGTGATTTGAAAGATAGAGGATACTCTTTTATTTTATTCTTGATGGCATGTATCAAAGGGGGATAATGCCCATGAGAAACATTATGTTAAAGTGAAATTTCTTTTATGAAAAGAAAAGAGAGCTTCCTCTTCTCTTGTTTTACTTGTTGGTTTGATTTTTGCTGCATCATATGTGTAATTCTTATGATTTATTTGCTGACAAATATTGTCATCACCGGACCGGACTAGCCGGTCCAACTAGTTGGACTGCCTATTGGACCTCCAACCAGCTTGGTCAGCTAAAAAACTATATTTTGGAAACACATGTAATTTTGTTTTCTTCTTAATATATTTTTGGTGAATTGGACCAGACATTTCTCCAATTTATTGTCCAGTCATGTTCCAATAACATTGTTTGAAATTCGTCATAGACTGGCTTAGATAGAAAGAAGAGCCGGGGGGTGGAGGGGTGGAGCTAGAAAGAAGGTGAATAACCAGTAAAACGGTCTAATTACTGAAATGACTATTTTATCCTTGATCTCTAAAATAGTAATCTTTAAAATAAAAATTGGTATTTTTTTCCCTTGGCTGCTGTAGTTGCTCAACGACTGCCTTTTTAAAAGACGATCCACTTGGAAAAATGTATAATTAGCCATGTGTGCTTGATTTCCCAATTTCCCATGTTCAATGATTCCTGTGACGATCATTTCAAAGTGGTAAATATGTGAAATGATAATTGTTTTAATCTATGTGTATGCCAATGTAACTATGTATATGTGCATGTTTTCATGTGGTTATCTGACTCATTATTGAAGTGACCATATAACAAGTACTCATTGCTCATGGAAAACGCATGTACCCATGTTGGCTTAGTGCTGATAACTGTGGTTAGGAGTCGATCAGGGGCACTTGAATCCTAGTTGAGCGCATATCTTGGCTGATTGATAGCCAAGATGAGTGAATGCATGTTTTCTTTGTGCACTGTGCGCGCATATAACACAAACTTGTTCATTGAAACCACTCCATTTTCTGAAAGAATTTTTCCACATTTTTAAGCTGCTCGGTGGCTATCTTTCAGACAACAGAAAAGCAAACCTGCACTGGTAGCTGTGCTAGGCCCATGTACCTTATGGGTTTTAGTACTTGATGGTAACATTTTTTTTTTTGATGAAGTTAACTTGTACTTAATGGTAACATTAATTGGCAAAAATTCTGAAGCATCTTCGCTATGGTTTTCTACACTCAATGGTTATATGAATTGATAAATTATGGAGGTTATGTTGAAAACCTATTTGTATATTTGATAGTTTCTTCTTGCTTCCATTTATTTTTTGTGCAGTATTTTATCCTCCGGTGGAGAAATTGTTGGAACAGTGTGGCAAGTTCCGGCTACTAGATAGGATATTGTCACATCTACTTGCTCGAAGACACAAGGTATGGTTTTCAATAACTTTGGATCTTTCTAGAGATGCTGCTACTGATGGTTCTTGTTTTTTGATCAGTAAGTTATTGGCCCTGTTACTTAACTTGTTTTGAAACTCTGTGCTGTTATTAGGTGCTTATCTTTTCTCAGTGGACTAAGGTTCTAGACATTATCGAATACTTCCTCAGTGAGAAAGGGCTTAACACTTGCCGCATTGATGGAAGTATTAAATTAGCTGAAAGGCAACAGCAGGTAGCACAAAATAGAGTTTGTACACATTTCTTCACTTGCTATTGTTTTGGACTTTTTTTTTAGCCGCAAAAAGATGTTAAACATGTGCTTTTAGGAGAACAATTTGAATGTTATGCACCATGCGAAAATCTTGATCCTGTTGGTGATTCCTTTTTCTTGGAGGTCATCTGTATTATCTGATAATTGTCAGTTCATTGCATCTTGGAATATCTTTATTTGAGGAGGCACTTCTTAATTTTTATTCATCACCTTGAAGGGATTAATTTCTCAGCTTATGTATCTTTGCCTACTCATGTTTCCAAACTTCACTAAATTTGATATCGTAATATAAATGGATTTCCCTTATTGGTGGCTGCTTAATTGCCAAATAGATTCACTACAACTTGGCTTAAATGGTTCCTTTGCCATTTTTTGTACTTGCAGATAAAAGAATTCAATGATTTGGATAGTCAATGGAGTATATTTCTACTAAGCACTCGTGCTGGTGGGCTTGGCATCAACCTCACCGCAGCTGATACCTGCGTCATCTATGACAGTGATTGGGTGAGTTTCTCTATGTTTTTTATGCTGTTTTCTTCTGTATATATATGCTGACAATTTTTTACAGTTATTTTAACTATACTAACACAAATATACATTCATAAATTCTCAAGCTTATCTGCGCTTTTACATTTATATTTATCTGTGAAGTACTTTTTAACCGTTATTTTTACTAGATAAATGTGTCTTATTGATGGGTTATTTACATAAATATACAGCCAGCATCGTTGTGAAACTGACAATGTGATGTGTATGATATGTAGAATCCTCAAATAGATTTGCAAGCCATGGATCGGTGTCATAGGATTGGGCAAACTAAGCCTGTTCATGTGTACAGGTTAGCAACCTCGCACTCGGTCGAGGTATGTCTCTTGCACCGTCATGCGTTTAGTGATTAAAATAATGCTGACTTGCGCTTGGACTGCACAGAGTCGCACTAGGACCCAGCAGGATGCTGGGACCTGCTCTGGATGAGACTGACATGTGTCCGTAATTGTTATGTATTTTTATTTTGAGACTTTGCAAGTCTGATGGTCTGACTTGGGACCATGGCAAGTCCAAGCCCGAGTCTGTATTTTTAAACACTGGTTATATGGTACTGTGTATATTATTGTTTTGTTTTTGCTTTGTAAGCCTTTGGTTGCTTGGTTATTAGGGCCGCATGTTGAAGAGAGCTTCTGCCAAGTTGAAGCTGGAGAACTTGGTTATTGAGAAGGGGCAGTTTCAGCAAGAAAGAACAAAGCCTGCTGTATTACCGGTCAGTCCAATTTCTCCAATCTTCTATTACTACAAAATTGATAATTGCAAGCAAAAAAACTTCTTCATGTGAAGCCGAAAATTCTTCTAGACTTTGTTACATGGGTTGTCATGTCGTTTCTGGCAAATATTTACATTTCTTGAATGTTCTCACCAGTAGCAAAAAGAACTGGAATTTTAGGTTTGTGTTTTGATGGTACCAATACATCTTTCTCTCTCTCTCTCTCTCACACACACACACATAGTGCAGCCAACAAATATATATCTCCCTAAACCTGTGCACTCTTTGTGATACTATCTCTATGATCCTTAACTATGAATAAATACAATATCTCTAATTTTTACGTGGTTATTTGATGGGCAATTCCAGGATGAAGATCTATTGGCCTTGCTGAAAGAAGAGGAGGATGAGGAAGATAAACTTGTGCAGACAGATATAAGTGAGGAGGACTTACTGAGGGTCTTAGATAGAAGTGATATGGTGGACACTCCAGAGAACAATGATGCAAAATCCACTATTCCTCTTCGTGGACCTGGCTGGGAAGTGGTAGCTAAACAAGTTGGAAGCATGCTGTCATCTTTTGGTGATAACACCAAGCAAGCATCGAGTTAAACTGCTTTTTGGCCTGTCATATTGGTGCTTAAGTTTTTCTTTATTGGTTTATGTAATAGCATCCAAATTTTGTACAAGACTTTGCAGATGGCTTGGGTGCCTCTTTGTATGCTCTCTCCCTCTCCATCTCTCGCTCTCTCCCTCTCCATGTCTCTCAATCTCTTGAGGACGCAAGAATCTATGGTGCGGGTTGTGCTATAACAGTGCTACGAGGCACAAGTTTTGTATAGTTGTCTGGTGGAGATCAAACAAACAGTACTAACTATATTCACCGCTCCTAAATGCATGGACTTTCTCTTACTACCAATTGTGTCAGTTTCTGGAGGTTATCTTTCTTGAATTTCTCTCCACCCATTGTAGATTGAGGTGTTGAGGTCATCTTTCTTGAGTTTACTATCTGTCTCTGCTGATATTTTGGAAATATATCGATACCCGTAGGAGATTGACTATTTAACAATGTACCCACTTCTTTTACTTTTATTTCAAAATGCCTATAAAAAACACAACTATGGGTTGGAATTGTTTCAAATGTGTGAATTGTTCGATTCATCACTAAACTTTCCTTACTTTTTGGACATTTTTTTGCTTAAATAGATGCCTCACACTTGTATCAAAAAACAAGGAAAAGACAAAAAGAAAAATGAATTGACTAAATATTGATTTGATATATCTTTGAAAGATTTTGTAGAAAAATTGGGTAGACTTGTGCTATTTTATAGTATGCACAATATTTTGAATAGATTTAATTTATTTAATTTCTATTGATGAAAAAATGGTTTAAGAAAGGGGGATGATGGTTCACGTAGCTTCTATAATGTTGATGACCCATTTATAAAATGGATGATTAAGATCTCTTACCCCACAAGTTGCCTTTGATCGACGGTTTATGTTCAATCTCACAAGAAGAGGCAAGCCAAATAAAACCTTAAGAAGCCGTAATCTTATTCAATGTCTATAAAAAAGGATTGTCTCTACCAAGAAATCTACACACCTTATCTTTCTAGCTCTCTCTCTTAAGAAAGTTTATTTCTGTCATGTTTGATTTCTCTCCCACATTGTGAAAGAACCTAAGGGTTTGGGTTATACCGTTCTCTCATATCTCTCAAATATGAATTTATGGCTACGGGTTTTAGGGTTTAGCAAAAAGAGAATCCATCTCGCTCGAACTAGGTTGCTAAGAGAATTCACTTAGGGTTTGAGTTTGTGATTAAATGGGTTCATGTTCTATTGGTGTGGCTTGGCCGAAATTTGTTTTCCCGGTTCAAGATTGAAGCTAGACCGTTGATCCCGTGCCATCGGATGATGGTGACTTGGCGTGGGGTGTAATAAGTCCGATTGAGGTAATCTCTGACACTTTTCCTTTTGTTTCTTGCAATATTATCTTTTATTCTCAAGCATAGTGCATAGTTTTTTCAATGAGATCAAGTTGTTAAAATCTTGATTTTATTGTTATGTTGATTTTATTTTGAAATTTATTTTATTATAATAAAGACCACATGTTAGTGATTTTTTGCCAAAAAAAAAGGTGAAGAAAAAAAAAAAAATGTATTCCCTCATAAATGTTCACATAGGTATTTCTTTCAGCTAGCCCTATCCAACAATTTTCCAATTCAAAATGGTCCCTAGGCTCCAGTTCAGCTTTTTTTAAACTAAGGCTCCATTTGGGATATTTTCTAAACTAGAGATGTATGCGATTACGTCGTCACCCACTTAGAGGGTCGTGATGAAAATATTTTCTTTTAAAAAGTGAAAAAGTTTTTAAACTAGAGAATGCATGTGATTATGTCGTCACCCACTTAGAGGGTGGTGATAAAAATATTTTCATTTAAAAATTGAAGAGGATGGTGATGAAAATATTTTTATGAAATTTTTTTTTTATAAAAGTTAAACAGTTTTTAAACATGAGAATGTATGTCATTACGTCGTCACCCACTTAGAGGGTGGTGATGAAAATATTTTTAAAACATGGAGTGCGGGGATGAAAAATATTTTAAAACTTAGAGGGTGGTGATGAAAATATTTTTAAGACTTAGAGGGTGGTAATGAAAATAATTTTTTTTTAAAAGTTCGAGGGTGGTGATGAAAATATTTTTAAGGTTTAGAGGGTGGTGATGAATATATTTTTTTCTGAAAAAAAGACTTCGAGCGTGAAAGTGATAAGGTTTTTTTGTTTTTTTAAGACTTAAAGGTGAAGGTGAAAAGGTGATAAGGTTTCTTTTTTTTTTTAAGACTTAAAGGTAAGTGAAAAGGTCATAAGGTTTTTTATTTTTAAAAGTGTAAAAAAAATTCCATTGCCGGGATTTGAACCCGGGTCGCCTGGGTGAAAGCCAGATATCCTAACCGGACTAGACGACAATGGACCTGTTATGTAAATGTGACCGTTTTATAATCTTTTTAAATTGTTAGCCTTACTCTCTATCCCGCCCTTCCACTAAACGCATAACTCTATTCCATAAGACTGTACAGTATACTTCTCAGGCTATCTAGGCCGTCAGTTTATGATGCCAATGTACTATTTTTTTTAACCCGAAAGGAGATGCTTTTTATGTGGCCCCATCCACATATATAATATGTGTGAGCCCTACTCTAAGCCGACAGATACGAGTAATGGTTTAGATGGTTTGAGTCATAATGTCTCAAGCTAGCTTTTAATCGTTAGATCTTGATCAAATGACTTACAGTTTTTTATTTTTTTTATTTTTGTTCTACAAATAAATTTTGAAATGAAATTTGGAGCATGTATAGATCTGATAGGGGTACCAAAGATAAAAATAATAATAAACTATTTTCGTAGATAAAAAATTATTAAAATACTTTTGAAATTTTAGGAGTATTTTGGTTATTATTTTTACATTTTATTTTTATTTTTACATTTTATTTTATTTTTAATTTTTTTTAGGTTCGAGCTCGAGATGATCAATTGGAAGGCTTTCTAACTTCGAAACACTCTTTTCTACAAGAATTTTGAAGTGCATTTTACTTCTATAATGTAAGTTTGAGTTTTTATTATAAAAAATTACAACCTTACATGAACCTTTTCCAATAACAATTATTCATATATCACCTTCTAATAGGAAAAAACTTTATGTAACGTTGAAACTTTAAAATGTAGAATTAAAGATACACCTCAAAAATCCATCGGAAAAAGTTGTTTTAATGTTAAAAAGTCCTTTAATGGATCATCTCGACATCTAGACATCTGAATATGAAAAAAAGAAGAAAAAAATATTTTGAGTCAAAAAAATAATGCATATTGCAACACATTATCTAGACCGCCCATTTTTAAGATTTTCATATGTTTATAGATCTATCTGATTTTAACCATTTTTTGTAGCTTAAAATTTTATAATTAGATATGAAAATAGATTTGAAGATAATCTTAAAAAACTTTTACTACAATTACATTTTATGATAAAATTTGGAGATGTTATGATAAAATTTGGAGGTGCGCTTTAATTGGCGTGTTTAAAGTTGCAACCTTATAGATACCACACCCATTCAAATATATTGAACCGCATGTAATGATAGAGATATATGGCATCCGGTTGAGGTAGGACTCTATGACAGGAATTATAGGGCAGGTGGCCCTAAGGCAGATTCCACCAAATGAGAAATCACAATAATTAACTCCAAATTTTATTCAATAATTGTTATCAATAATTTGAATGTACAAAAACAAAATCTAATAGGAAAAGGGAATCCTTTATTTACGAAATACCATATTTTTTGAGTAAATATTTTTTTATGCACGTGCAATTAAAAGGAGATTACGTTTCGAAATTTATTAACTCCACTGTGAACCTCATTCCTAATCAATGGTTTATCCTTTTAGGGGTGGTAACCCGCCGGACCCAGATCCCATTGATCCGAAGTTAAGGGACTTGGATCCGAGAATATAATATGGGATCTAAACCCGACTCAAAAATTAAAATATTCATATATTTAAATATATTTTAATATATTTCATAAATTGGAATTTGAAAATATAACGTGGGATCAGGTCTCGAATAGTGTTTGGGTCCAAGATTTAGATCCAAATCCAACCCACTTAGACCAGTTTTTGGACTCATACCTAGACCTGGATTGGGTCTAATCATCAGGGCCTTGGTTGGGTCTAGGTCTATTGCCACCGCTAACTGATTTTTTGTGAATTTAAAAAATAAAAATTTAATTTTTAAAATCTTGAGATTGTAGAAAATGGAAAGATTGTTTAGGCAATCACCTCGACCAAGTGACTTGGCCATTGGAAGAGGCAAGTTACTCGATTGAGTTTGAGTAGACTTGGCCGAGTCCTTTACATGGCCAAAAAGCCCTTAAAAAAAAAAAAAAAAAAGTTCGACGGTAAGATTTTTTATGCAATGTACCAGTGTCCTTTTCATTAGAGAATTTAGATGTGACACAATCCATTTGAGAAAATTTACGTGTGGCACCAATAAACGATAAGATGAGAGAGAGTAAATTTAGGTGGGCTGACCTTGTGTGGCGCCGACCAAGTACAACACCTGTTCGGATGTGCAAATTAATTCAAATTGCTAAGACTTAAAAAGGCAAGGGATAGGCCCAAAAAAAGATGTAGTTAGAAGTAGTTCAGAAAGATATGGGGACTTATGGGCTCATTGAGGATATTGTCTCTAATAAAGAATGAGAGACCAAGATTCATTTAGTTGGCCCCCTAATTAATTGGAAAAATGCTATAATGATGATGGTGAACCATATCCTTTACATTTTTTTGATGGTTTTTGAAACTTTTTTACATACACTGAGATATTTACAATTCTATGGGAGAGGTTGAGTTATTGGCTCGATTCCAAGTAGACTCGGGCAAGTCCAATAATACCAGTGAAAACATGAGGTCGGCACAATTATCCAGTCTAACTCGAAAATCGGTCATCCCATGCCGATTCTATCAATATAATAGGACATCGTTTGGGTCTAGAAGAAAACCGACGATGTGCTACAGTAAAATGATATTTTGCTATAGTAAAAATGCTGTTTGCTATAATAAAACATAGTAAAAATTCTATTTTGCTACAGTAAACACCGATTCACTGATCCGTACCGGTTTTTGGTTGGTTCACTATTTTTCTACGTGATTTTTTCCCAGTTCAATTTTTTTTCCACAGAGTAAAATGGCAGTCTGGACCACCGATCCATTGATCCGGACCGGTTTTTACTATGCTTGATCTGGGTCACCAATCCGTTTCTTAAATCACTGGATAGTACTAAATAGAAACGTGCATTAACATGCCTTTGGTAGCAGTTACATCGAATCAAGAGACTGAAATATGGGGCAGCATTAACTTTTTTTATCCATAAATAAATAAGAAAATGTTCCCCAAATTATATACAATGCATTATCCCTGTTTCAAATGAAAGAGAGAGAGAGAGAGAGAGTGTTTTCCCCAACATATCTCAACACCCGCAATTAGGTTAAGGTCGGTCGAATGCGTACATCAGGGGATGGTGGCCTGAATATCCAAAGTAGACAATACCTGTGGAATGGACATGCCACCAGAAACAACAATCTCTGCAATTCCATGCATAAAGAAATCAACACATGCAAAGAAAACCAAACAGCTTGCAGAATGAAACACAACTAAATCCATGACTTGAAAAATGAACCATTAAAATAAGGTGCACCTTCAAATGGCGTCAAAAGATGTTGTTTCAATACTAAAAATCTTTGTGATGGCTTAAAAATTTATTTTCATATCTAATAATAAATTTAAAGGTTAAAAAGTAGTGTAGATTGAGAATATCTATGAACATTTGAAAATTGACGATCCAAAAGATACACTACAAGATGCACTATTTTCAAACCGTGAAATCCATTTTTTCTCATACGCATGCATCTTATGGGTATCGAAACAACATCTTCTATTGAATTTTTGAGGTACGCCTTAATTTGATTGTTTATAGCCTTACCTTTATATACACTCTTCCTTTACATAAATTGAATAACTAAAAATCTACAATTTTTATGTCTCAAGATATTTTTTAAAACCTCGAGTCTATTGTGAAATGAAACCTAAAAATAGGGGTATCGAGATATTTTTCCAAAAAATAATCCATTTGCCAAAGTAAATGAATAGCTGAAGAAACAGATTAACAGAGAGTATAAGTATACAATAAGATTGTTTATCTTTGATACGAAAAGGTCATGATCACTCTTAGCAATCAAATGTGAAAGTACGTTACTTGAGGCGTGTTTTAAGTTTTGTTTACAGCAGTGTCTTAAATCCCAAATCGAATTGTCGGATCAGTCCCGGGTGGACCCCCAATTGGATTGATCCGGATCACTGATTGGGTTGGGCTTGAACTGATTCTCCAGTGTGGGAATTAGTCCCAAAAATATTTTGATTATTACTTTTAAGTTTAAAGATAAAAAAAGGTGAGAATGTGATGATTTAGCCGATTTGGATCGCTCGATTCCTTAACAGATTCTTTGACATCAGTGAGTGGGTACCTATAAAACGTACCGATGCCAAGTTCTATTAGGAACCTAGTTGATCCCCACCAATTCCTGATCCCAATAGCCATTTCCTTATCTAGATTGTTGATTTTTCAAACACTAGCTTAAAAGTATGAGAAAGTTTTTTTTAGACTTTATGCATATTAACGGTTCGTCCCCACTAGGCAGATCTCACATATGACGGATATGAGTGATTGTAATATTTTGTACCAAAGATAAACATGTTTATGGTATGCAATCCCGTAAACTAATTGTTACAATGATGGAGAATATACTACCAATTGCTTCACGTATTGATATATTAAGCCCGTCAATATCCTTAACACTTATGATAAATACATCTCAATACAACTAATGATTTTTTGAGACATAAAGACATTTGATAGCTATAGATGATTGTGACCTTTTTGCATAAAAAATATACAACTATAATCCTTTAAATTGATATTTTGAGTACTAGCGCTTTCATTACCTATTGCTTCGCGTACTGATAAGTTGGGCCTGATGATATCTTTAGTACTAATAAGAAATATATCTCCAATATATAGGTGATTTGTTGGGATATAAACGCAGCAAAGCTCCTCTGCTCCAATGCCACTCCGAAGAATTACAGTCGAAGTAATGAAACCAATGGCATATTCTCCAACTCTCGGGTGCCTTACAATGGTCACTTCCTTAAAGGCATGTGAATTCTGGTCTTTAGCAGCATGGCATCAAAAAACATTATGATAAATAAATCAGGCCTTGCAAATTTAATCAGATAAGATATCATTAGGATGGTCAAACCACCTCAAGAAATCAGGAAGGTGGTCAAATCAAACAATTTATTAATAAAGTGGTTACTCTAAAAATATCATTTCACTTATGCACCTTATCAATTATTGTAAAAAATACCCATATGACCCCTGTTTAGGGTTTGAAATCATGAACAAGTAGAGGTTCTTTGGTAATTTAGCACCATTAAGTAGCCTATCCAATATTGTACATATCATTGCTTGTTCTGGGTTCCAAATGTGAAACATTATACACATGTTTTTTTTATTAAAATATTATGTTCAGAGTCTAGAGTCTAGAACAGGGGGGGTGTATTTGCATAATTTAACCCACTGGTGTCGGGGGTCAACTTACCAAAATACATCTACCAGTTTGCGTTCCAAACCTATATGCATGTTGGTCATTTTTTTAACGAAATGGTGGGGGTATGTGAGTGAAATGATGTTAATAAAGTAACTAAAAATTATTTTATACAATCGTCTTAGTGATTTTTTGAGGTGGTTTGATCATTTCAATGACATTTTCCCATTTAGTTACTCTTTTGCATGAGATTAAATACAGTGAGAGAGAGAGAGGGGCATACCGGGTGATATTGCAGCACTTATTTGCTTAGAAGCTGAATAGATATGGCTCACGAGAGGCATACGCTTGATGAACCATTCACCAAGGCCAAGGACGGATGCTCCCAACCAAGAAGACATAAACACACCGACTAAGAAGATGAAGGTTATGGAAGTGATGAAACCCAAGCCTGAAAGTTACACAAACTATACATTGAATAGCGCTCATGTCTAGAAAACAGACACATCTGTTAGTGTTCGACACACGTACAAGTATTGAAAATGCCAACTCCCCAATATAGGCTTTTTAGACATGATATGTCTGGATTTCATTCACAATATGGGAGGCAGGATTTTATAGGTCTTTTTATATTGACATTTCAACAAGAAAAGTTAAAAAGAAGTGTTTAAGTTTCTAAAGTTTCAGACATAAGTCCTGTGTCTTTAATGCATTGACACAGGCCAAAACAATCTCTATTTTATATCAAATTGGGCATTAGCTAAACAGATATGAAGTTGGGTCTCTAGTTCGTCCAAATGTGAATCGGAATATGAAACTCACCAAAGATATTCATTCCAAGTTGAGCATAGATTGGGGAGAAAAATCCATCCACAAATGAAATGAACCACCATGTTATGTAAAATGTGATGGCTATCGGGAGTAAGATGACACTGCAAAGCAATTATAACATAAGTAACTCCATCACTAAATAAAACTGCAGGGTCAATAAGCTTCAAAAGCAAAGTGAACCAATTATGGGGTTGTCTACAAAGAGATCATTTATCTTTTGTATATGGAGGTCACGATCATTTCCACTCATTAGATGTCAAATTGGATGGCCTGGGGTGAGTCTCGAAGTCCCATAATTTTTTTTTTTTGGAACTTTGTGTCTATTAAATGGTACTCCTACAACCATCCATTTTGAAATTTAAGGAACAAAAATGATTATAACCTCTATGTACAAAAGATAAATAATTTATTCATAGACAATCCCATATATGAATCTAAACCTAGTCTAAAAGACTTTTTTTGCTGCTAGTGGGAATAGCACCTGTTGTGCCAATCTCTGGATACATGACACCGAAGACTTAAAAACTGATTTATAGTATAGTTGTGAATATGAGTACATGACACTCTGAGTGAGTGAGAGAGAGAGAGAGAGAGAGAGAGAGAGAGAGAGAGAGGAGTTGAGTGTTGGCTCCCTTAAGTCTGAATGTTTTAAGCTTGAATGGACACTCCAAAGAGAGAACAAGAGGTGGCCACAAAAGCTATACATCTTGCTTGATATATCCGAAAATGAGTGCAACTTTTATGCAAGGCATGAAATGTATGGTGGTAGTCATAAATTTTGTGATTTGGTACTTTCAACATAGGCTAAACTACTTGTTTTGCTCACTATTAACCCAAATACCCCACATAACATGCACACACAAGTGGGGCAAAAAAAGAAGGAAGAAGGGACAGATTATAGCCTAAGAACCAGCTCAGTTGTGACTTGGGACCATAGTCTCAGGCTCTTGATGTGTCAGCCTCACCATTCATTGATTATATTTTTATTTTTTATTGGTATGAAGTTCACCAAAAATAAATGAAGAAAGCTGAATGAAACATACATACAAAAATAACTCAATAAATCTAAAGAAAGAAAAATTCAGAAACTAATTACTCAAGGACTGAGTATAGCAAAATTTGGGCAAATTTAGTAAGAATACTTTCATAAATTGCTATTTCATTTGATGCATAGGAGTCTCAAAGAATATGAGTGATACGCTTAATATTATATAAGATGATTAATCAGAGCCTGGAAAGATTCTCACCATCCGGTCATGAACTTCTTGGAAGCCCAACTCCTCACCACTTTATAAAATGCCTGAAATAAACCAGCAATGCAAAAATATCACCATGGATTTTGTATGAATCAAATTATTGAAAACTAACTCGAAGTTCCTCATATAGGTGAGGTTAATTCTATTTGTAAAATTTTTGGGCCAAGTTGTCTGTCACAAGTTGGGCTGCCAACGGGCCAGGCCATGGTCAGCCTAGGCCTCACCTGAACTTTCACACCTGGACCTGGCCCAACTCCAACCTGAATCATTGAAGCTAGGACTAGGCCCGGTTTTTCCCGGCCCTATTTGTAGCTTTAGTTGTAGAGGGCGGCAGCCAATAGGCTGGCTAGATGTGGCCCAACCTGGACCCAAGTCATTTAAGCCAGGGGAGACTAGTGGGCCTCATTGAGCTGCCTGAGCCTGGCTGTCATGAATCAAGTTAAGTCCCAGCCCACAGGCCTAATTGAGATGCTTGAGCCCTGCCCAAAACTGAGCCCGGCTCGATTAGCAGCCCTAATTACATGGGGTGATTCATATGTGCATGCATCTTAAAAATGTGACAATCACAAGACTTGTAGAAATTTTAGCTATATTGTTCACATCCAAAACCAAAATGCTACCCAGAGCAATAACAAATTCGAAGGCAGATCAAACTCAATATCATACTGAGACAAGAAAATTTCATACATTTAGAGATTTTGAAAAGAATTTCTTTTGAAACATAACGCAAGGTTGTGAATGCTGCCTAGGTGTTAGGATGTGACCATCACAAGACTTGAAGAAATTTTAGCCATATTGTTCGCATCCAAAACCAAAATGCTACCAGAGCAATAATCAATTCGAAGGCAGATCAAACTCAATATCATACTGAGACAAGAAAATTTCATACATTTAGAGATTTTGAAAAGAATTTGCTTTTGAAACACAATGCAAGGTTCTGAATGCTGCCTAGCTGTTAGGATCCCAGATCAGTCTACCTGATCTGGATAGAAAGCCTAAATTGAAAATTAATGGATTCTGAGAAGGCATCTGGGGGAGGAATGTGCTTGGTCTAGAGCAGTTAGATGTTCATGATTGGAACACTACATCCTAAGTTCAATTCCTACCGCTGAACTACCCCAAAACAATAAGAGAGGGAAGTTATAATTTTAGTCCAACAACCATACTGGATTACAATACAATAGGAACATAACCAAACATATGTTAGACATTGATCTATGGGCTTGTGATAATTAAATGCATTTTCTCCAATATAAATTAAAATCAAGGAATTTAAGCGCACAATAAAGAAAAATAACAGTTTTTGAAGTTAATTAAAAAAAGAACCATTCAAGAAGAGAAGAGGCTTTGTCCAACTAGAGGGTATAGACTATAGACACATCAAAAGGTGCATTATGGTCCAAGAATGATGAACTAGAACTGACATTTCTTTAAATGCACAGCTGATCTAAATGTAATTGATCAGCCACACTCATCCTTCTGTTAAAGCTTTACAGCCATTCAGCTTGAACTATGTTCAAACCAACTCGAAACAGCCATTTTAGAAACTCTGATCTTTCGAGGCTCTGCTGTAAGTTTCATAGTCAGGGACAATCTTGTGCTAGAGAATCTTACATACTAGCATCATACCCATATAGTAAAGGAAAAGTATAGAATGAGACCATTTACCTTTGGGACAAGGTGGTCACAATTGGATGAGAAATTAGGTGACTGCATTTATTCCATTGACCAAGCTCTAACTTCAAAAGAAATTTTTTCGAACTTTGTGACACACCCAAACCATCGAATTTCACATCGGATGGTTGTAAGTAATTGTGACCACCTTGTATCATAGGTAAATGGTTTCATTGTATACAATCCCTATAGTAAAAGTAATAGAGGGGGATTAGAAGTTCTCTTCATTTTGAACTTATTTCAAGACAAAATGATATTTCCTAATTTTCCTGTTAATAGGCTGCATATGCATGAAATTCGAGCTAAGTACTAGTAATAGTCTTAGACAAGATGCAAGTCCATAACAATTGAGCACTTTATTCCCTTGGGTCCTCATTGTTAAAGGCATACTCATGACAAAATGGATTTCCCCCCCCCCCTCACCCCCCCCCTCCGGGTTTTTTTCCCAATAAGTTGATTCAATGGAAATTTTACTGTTATGGCTTTCCAATTAACAAATGTACGATGAACTATCCAAACATGAAATTACTTAGATGATAATAGCCAATTACATCACGAAGAATTACATGACTTTTATGTTCTTTTCTTTTTAGTGAGTATGTATGGAGTAAAAGTGTTTAATATTCGATACAAGAAGGTCATAATTAGCCTTAGTTGTCAGATATAAAATCTAGCAGCCAGGGATGTGTCACAAAGTTTGACAAATGTTTTTTGGGATTTGAACGTATAATATAGTACAAGTCTTTCTTGTTCTATTTCACATTTGATGGCTAGGAATGTTTGTGAGCTTCTTGTATAGAAAGTAAACGATTTTATTGGGTTCTCATAAAAAAAAGCAAAAAGTCATGTAATTCTTCGTGATGTATTACAATCTTACTAGTTTCCATCATTTACAATATTTGGGCATATGCAAAACAATTTGTGTTGAGGAATATAAAAAGGGATCACATGCAAAATGCAATTGAACAATTCATAAGAAGCTTTTCTTTAACAAGTTTTCCAGTTTCTTTACGACATGAACAATGGGTTAAATATAGAGATAGCCACTTGGAATTCTTCACCGAAATAATTAAGCCATATACGCCCAAGAGGATACGGTTGGAAGTAGTGAGAAAAGATACGGGAAAAGACTTTGACAATGATAGAGGTCTCCTAACCGTAACCAGCTTGAAAAAAGGAAAACAGAAAGAGAAAAAAGATGGCTCTAAAGAGAGAAGCACCCATTCATCAAATCATCAAAGATATTGATAAATCACAGTCTACTCTGTAAAAACAAAATTCATTCATGCTTAAGCCAAAGCAGTGTAATAAAAATTGCCAGAAGAATTTTGGACAGAACAAACTAACTAAATAAACCATAGATTTATTCTAGAATCTCAATTCTGCAGAAAAAAAAGAAGTTCAATCACATCTTTGGCTTTAGCATGATATAACAGAGAGAGAGAGACCTCTCTACCAGAGTGATGAGCAGATGAAGGAACAAGAGAGGAAGATTTGGGTCCCCCATCTTCAACAGTTGCAGGAATAAGAAGCTCTCGATCTCTCTCCCTGCTTCCCATCGATGATCAATCTTTGTGACGCCAAACACAACCCAAGTAGAAAATTATCAATCAAAGCGGAAAATAGCACATAAAATAAAATAAAATATAAATGATCAATAAAAGAAAAATATAAAAAAAAAACAATCTCTATATCTTCTTCTTTTTCTTTATTCAAAGAAGAAAATTATATTCACCCCAAAAAAGAAGAAAATTATCAATCACCCAGAAATTTTAACAATAATTTATTGAAAAAAATGAAAAGAGAGTTATAGTTTCTTGTTTTTATTTAATTATCAAAATATTTTCTTCTAAAAATAAATAATAATCATAGGATTTTCTCATGGTCCGGCAGCAAGGACATGCGTGGGTCGGGGTCTCTAACTAACGGCTACATTTTCTCCATGCTTCATGGATATTTAATAGGGGAAAATTACGTCCCTGCCCGTTTATTTGACCGTACCATTTTATTTTATTGTTATTACGGGATGGTCCAAAATTATGGTATATTTATGCAGAGTTCTTTGTTTCCCCAATTTAAATTTTTTTTTTTTTTTTAAAGTTTGATGCCGGATCACCTATTAAATTTATTTTTTTGATTTTATGATATTTTATAAGTCAGTTCAATTCAAAAACTTTGAACGCCAATTTTGTAGGGCGGTCAACTGTTCCAAAAATCAAACCGGCTTATATCTTTTAGTCCGACTGATGTTCGAAACATTGGACTGTCTTAAGTCTTCAAAAATTAAAATATAAATGCCATATGATGTTTCACGACTAAAAAATATAAATCGGTCCGATGAAACATCAAACAGCCTAACATGGTACGATTTATATGAATTATTACTAGTAACATGGTTCTCTTAACATGTACCAATTAAGACCAACTAATATTGTACATGTGTTAGTACTTGGTAACATTCCCTTAACATGTACCAATTAAAACCAACTAATATTGTACATGCGTTAGTACTTGGTAACATTCCCTTAACATGCACCAATTAAGTTTTCAGCAACTAATGCGCATGAGACCGCCTTTAAACCTCATTTTCTTAAGGTTTAAGGTGATACGATATTGGTAATATTGAACCAACCAAAAAGTATAAGACGGTTGCAACATTGACCTATGAATATCAAAAAATAAAAAAAATATAATTTGCATTTTAATGCTTAAAACATCGGATCAAATGCAAACTTGAAAAAATAAATAATGGGGAGCAAGGACCTCCGTATAAATACGATATATTTTGGAACCAGACCGTAATAATATTAAAAAATAACAGTACAGATATAAATTTCCCTATTTAATAATTACTTTACTGCTCTCATAAACCAAATAAATGTTTGTTTAAATGAATTACTTTATTGCTCTCATAAATTAAGGAAAACTATCCTTTATTAATAGAATACTCTACTCTTTGTTTGGAATCCTAAATTAATAGGGGTAATTGATCCTTTGTATTATGGCCTTACCATTTGTCTTGGATCACATAAATGTTTTTGTGGATGATATATAACATGGATATAGTATATTTGTGGTTGCTGCGTGGGGATATCCACAAAGGCGCGACACTCGTACATGATATTTTAGAAATCGAAAACATTTGTTTTAACCTTTTTTATTGGACTTCCTGGATATACTTAATATATATATATATATTTAAATGTACATACATTTTGTCTCTAAATGAATAATTTTAAAATTAACATTTTTAACACTCATACATGTGTCAGATACTAATATATAAGAATATGTATGTCAGATATGTAGGGATGAAACAATATGGTCATCCCACTTGAATTTGATTGCATAGAAATGGGAGTGCCCTGCATAGAGAGCAACAACCACACCACATTAAGTTACATTAGGGCAAACATTAACATTTACTTTTATAAGTAAAATGGAATGTGTATTATAAGACCATCTTCTTTTAGTACAAAGAGGTCGCAATTAGTTGTAGTTAGGTTGAAATACATCACAACATTCGATAAATTTATTTTGAACTTTTTGCCTGGTATATCTCCAACCACATTGATTTCCATCATTATATAAAAATAAATAATATTATTGTATACATTCCTTACTAAAATCATAAATAAGGAAATATTCTATAAAACAAGGGCGTATACCTATGGCCACTATGAAGGGCTATTGCTATATCACTTCCAACTCGATGGATATTAGATGAGCTAAAGAAAAAATGATCTTAATGCAACTTATAACCAAAATTTGATATATGGATCATCAATACACTAGTTTTGGAGAGCATAAATGCAAAAGGTAACAATGAATATTTGATTTTGGAAAAGTAAACCTTGGTTTTCAAGGAGTTAGGACTCCAAACACATCCCAAATCACTGTAAATCAAGGTTGGCAATTGACCGTTTGGACTCGACCAGGGTTTACTATTCGGGTATGGGTCCATGTGGACCTGACTCGAAGAGTGCTATTATTTAAATAATATTAATTTATTATATAATATTTAATTAACATTTTAAATAAATGTAGCTATATATTTTTATAGAAAAAGGTTATATAAACTTGCAACATTGAAATGTAGAATTACAGATGCACCTCAAAAATCTATCGGAATGGTTGTTTTATTGGTGAAAAATCCTCTAATTGATTATCTTGACATTGAGATGTATGAATATGAAAAAAAAAAGGGTTTTTGAGATGTAGAATTACAGATACACCTCAAAAATCTATCGGAAAGGTTGTTTTAATGTTGAAAAACCCTCTAATTGATTATCTCAACATTGAGATGTATGAATATGAAAAAAAGAATAAGAGGTTTTGAGTCCCAGAAATAGTGCATCTTGAAACACATTATCTATATCCATTTTCAAGATTTTCATATGTTTATAGATTTACTTGGTTTTAACTATTTTGGAGTTTAAAATTTTCTAATTAGATATGGAAATAGATTAATCCTAAGAATTTTTTACAATAAAATTACATGTTATGATAAAATTTGGAAGTGCACCTTAATTGGATTGTTTAAGATTGTAACCCTATTTTTAATTATAATATATAAATAAAAAAAAATTATATAGAGTTGACGCTTTAAACAATCAAATTAGAGCCCACCTCAAAAATTTCACTAGAAGAGGTTGTTTTGGTACTCAAATATACTCAAATTGATCATTTTGATATCAAGATGTATGGACATGATAAAAAATGGATTTCAATTTTTAAAAATAGTACATCTTGTAATATATTTTTGGACCGTCAATTTTCAAGATTTTCAAGTTTTCATAAATCTGCTCTATCTACACTATTTTTGAATCTTTAAATTTATAATTAAAGAAGAAATATATTTTAAGGCTATCACAAAGATTTTCAGTCCTGAAACTACATTTCTCGACACTATTTGAAAGTGTGCTTTACTTTGATTGTTTAGAACCTCGGCTTTATACAAAACACACCTTTTAAATAAGGGTGTGGTTTCCATAAGGTTGCAACATTAAACAATCCAGTTAAAGCGCACCTTCAAATTTTATCATAACATATGGTTTTAAAGTAAAATATTCTTAGGATTATCTCAAAATATATTTTTATATCTAATTATAAAATTTTAAATTCTACAAATGGTTAAAATCAAGTAGATCTATAAACATATCAAAATTTGAGAAAATTACAAATAACCCTCAAGACTGGACTTTCTATGCATGTTACCCCCAACCAATTTTTTATTCACTTTTTCCCCCAAAATATCTTTTCTAGCAAATAACCCCCAAGTAAGAAAAACCGTACATTTTTTTGATGAAAATACCCTTTTTTGTATATAAAAATTCAATTTTGGCTGGACATTCACGTGGGTTTACATGGGCTACCGGATCGCTCTTTGACATTGCTAGACCTTGTTAAACTAAAAAAGTGTCGAACTACTCTTTGACATTGCCTGACCTCGTTAAACTAAAAAAGTGCTGGACCGCTCTTTGGCATTGTCGGACCACACTTTGGGCCTGTTGCTAGACCACACGGGCCTATTGTTGGACTGCATAGGCCTGTTGTCAAGTCGCTCCTTGGCAGTGCGAAACTGCATGGGCCTATTGCCGGACATCCACTTGTTCTGCCGAACCGCCATTGTTATTTATCGGACCAAGATTAAACTGCCAAACAGCTCTAGGAATACGCCGGACCGCCCTTTCGTGGGAAAGAGGAGAGAGAGGCATGGTTAAAAATAAGGGAGGGTAATTTAGACTTTTTTTTTTTTTTGGGTTGGATGGGTATTTGCTAAGAAAGCATATGTTGGGGTAAAAAGTGAAAAAAAAAGTTTGAAAAAGGGTAACTTGCATAGAAGGTCTAGTCTTGGGGGTGATTTGTAATTTTCTCTAATTTTTTAAACTTAATAGTCTAGATAATATGTTGTAAGATGTGCTATTTAGATTTTTTTATTTTTTTTATTTTCTATATTCATACATCTTGATGTCGAGATGATCAATCAAAAGGTTTTCAACATTAAAACAACCTTTTTCCATGGATTTTTGAGGTGCATTCGTAGTTCTACATTTTAAGGTTGCAACCTTATATAAACTTTTTCCGTTAAATAATACTTGTATGTATTTAACATAATATTTTAATTTTTTATTCATTTTTGTGTCTGGTCCAATCAAGTCCAATCAGGCTCGGTTGGGTCCAGGTCCAACAACTTCGGGTCCAGTCAAGTCCGGCTCCCACAATTTTTTTGAGCCCAGGTTTGCCACCCGTACTGTAAATTAATTGAGTGCCTCGTATCTACGAATTTGGAGCTCAAAATATCGCAAACATAGTGTCAGTTAACATAAAAAACTTTGCATCCATTGATGTTACAATAAATAAATACTAAAGGTTCATTTTAAGAAGAAGAAAGGGATGCAAAAGCCACAGATATGAGCTCATTGGACAGGAGAAACCCATCCGGATCACTCAACCTGATATACTCCACACTCTTATTTTGCATCCTACTCTCACAAAATCTCACGAAATCAACGGCCGACAAAGTCCTCCGATCCTCATCCAACGGCAGGACGTGACCGCTCTCCACATACGGCCTCAGCGCCCTACAGACCCTCTCCAAGATCTCCTCCCCAAACCTCCCTCTAAACCCAGCAACTTCCAAACCCCTCCCCATCCTCAGTGAGAGCATGATAGCATCCATGACCACCTCACTCTCACTCTCTCTCACCCCCTCCCACACACTCTCTCTCCCTACCAGCCTCCCACTCTCACTTTCCCTCTCCTCCCCTCTCTCTAACCCACCAATCACAGTCACCCCCACCATCCCTTTGTTCTCACTCTCACTCCCCCCTCTTTCTAGCCCTTCAATTTCTTTCTCTCTCGTCCTTTCGCTCTCTAGCAATTCCACATATCTTGCATAGTCCTTCATCCTCCTCGATCTTGTAAACCGTATTCCACCCACGTAGCTTGCAGCCCCGAGCCCGAAACCATAATAAGGCTTGTTTAACCAGTAGCCCATGTTGTGCTTGCACTCCATCCCTCTCTTGCAGTAGCTGCTGATCTCATAGTGCTCATATCCAGCTTTAGAAAGCAACTCCCATGCCTTCCTATAAAACATAGCTGATTCCTCCTCAGAAGGAAGAGGACTCTGTCCAGGTTTATACCTAAATGACAAAAATTAAACAGAAGCCAAGTTCAAATGCCAAACTCAGGAAATAGAAGCCAACTTCAAATGCCAAACTCAGGAAAATATGTAGTTTCAAGAAGGTAAAAGTACCCCATTTGTCTTTTTTCATCTGGATGGTGAAGTATGCAATTAGTCATATGTTTATAGAATTCTTGTTCTTGAAGTTTTTAAAATATGATAAGATGAGTTTTGACAAAGTTTTACTTTGGCTACTTACCTAATACAACCTAGTTCTTTTACCCGAGCATGAGTCGGGTTAAGGAAAAGTTTAAGCTCATCACCCTTCTTAGACCATGAAGTTCTCGAAATATAATTGACTAAATTGGAAAGTACAAATGGTTTAGTAAACTAAACGGGTTCATTCTACCTAATGACCAGCCGGTTCGACCTAGCCCAGGTGCATTCTGGACCATGGAGTTAGACCCAACTAGGATTGCCTCCAAGCCCAACCCCTCTGGGTCGGGTTCGGGCTCGGGTATAATGGACCGGGACCTGTCCTGGTCTGGGTCAAGGCGGGCCGTGCCCAATTACGGTCAACCTGACCCGTTTGGACCTCAACTTGACACATATATAGTTGATATCCTATATCATAATGTACCATGCTTATGTTACATTCCCATTTTACTGATGCTATGTTAGATTCCCAATTCAGCTATAAGAATGGGTTTTCAAACAATTTGTATATTTCATATTTTCACAGAATCGGAGCAGAGGAACCTACACCCCCAACATCCATCGGTGATATGGAACAAATGGGGAGGCTTTACCAAATTGTTTAAAACCCAAATGCTAGAATTGTAAGGAAGTATGTACATCACAATAAAGTAGTACAACACAATACATTACTTGAAACCATGGCCATTCATGTTAACAAAACAACCATTGAGATGGAATCGTTCGTCATGTCCACTTAAACATGAAAAACAACTCATCTCGATCTCCCATTATCAAGAACCAATGGCTAACATTACATGCTTTGGCCTCACTGATATAGGACTTATGGCCTCATTGAGAATATAACCCTAAATAGAGCACCAAACCAAGTTGCATGTAGCCAATCCCGATTAGTTGGAAAAAGGCTCTGACGATGATGATGATGACACTTTCTACACTCATTGTATCATGCCCTTCGATCCTAATATGTATTTTCTATGTGCCACCAAACCTATATAATTTGTATTTATATGAGATTGACAATAGTCTAATTTTAGTCTAGTATGATTGCTAATGAGTTGATAATAATGCCATACATTAATGAGAGAATAATAGTGTATTAGCATTATCGTCAGCTTACGGTCAGCTATCGAATAACTGCGGTCAAATCAAGAGCCAATCACTCCCTCAAGATCAGTTGTTCAGCCTCCAATTATACATCCAACCTACACAAGGGCTTCCCTACTCTGAAACACACTTAAAAATTTGCAAAAAAAATATCTTACCATGCACCAAACTTGGTCCCCTCCTCCACTTGCAAATCATACACAGACAAATGGGGGGCTCCTGATTCAATGGCCGCCCTCAAGCTCTCCTCCCACATTTCCAAGCTTTGATTGGGTAATGAAGAAATAAGGTCTAAGCTCCAATTCTCCAGTCCACTACTCTTTATGATCTCCAAAGACTCTCTGACATGGTCCAAACAATGTGCTCTACCACAAACCTTAAGGAGCTCATTTTGAAAAGCTTGAACCCCAAGTGACACACGGTTGACCCCAAGAGAGAGAAAGGAGCTTAGAGAGCTGGCATCAAAGGTGCCAGGGTCCATTTCAATGGAGATTTCCACTTTAGGGGAGAGAGAGAAGCCAAATTTTTTAGAGAGGGAGTCCAATATTTGTGCCACCAGGGAGGGAGGAACAAGTGAGGGAGTACCACCACCAAAGAAAATGGTCTGGAGGGGTGGATGGGAATCGACTGATTTGGTGGGGGTGGTGGATGAGATTTCAGTTTGGATCAGAGAGATGTAATCTTTGATTCTAGAGAGAGAGGGGGAGGAACCAAGGGCAATTATGGGAAAATCACAATAGTGGCACCTCTTTCTACAAAAGGGAAGGTGGACATAGGCAGAAGTAGGGCTGGTTTGGGAATTGTGACAAACAGGTGGTGGTGGTGAGTGGTTGGATGGTTTTGAGGTGAAGGACTTCGATGATGGAGAGGAGAGAGGAGGAGAAGAAGAGTAGAGAGAGAAAGGAGGGGAATGGTGGAGAGAGTGGGAGGAAAGGTAGAAAGAGAGAAAAGGATGTTGAGGTCTTAAGGCCATGCTCACTTCTTCTATCGCAAAAGCATTCGCATTTGTAACTAATTTGTTTTAAAAATGTCCGCCATTTATGACTTCCCCTTCTTATATGAACTGAATAAGGCAGGATGAGCGCCGTGGAGTGGAGTGCAGAGGGGTGTCCATCTCAAAGACCAAAAGGCAATGAATGGCACCATAGGGCCTCCTAAGTCCGTGATGCCCCAAGGGCCTATTAGGTATGTGGAGCATTTTAGGTATTAAAATTTGTAAAAAAATGGGTATGGTCGTAAATTTGTCTTTTATTTTCATCCTATCATTATCTCAATTATTATTAGGGGAATCATATCCTTCCATTTTTTTCATTTAACTATTATACTCTCAATAAGTTTAAGTTCAAGATTCATGATAAGATGTGACAACATTCTACGTTGAGTTTACAAACCACCTCCTTTATCCAAACTTGAGACGGGTTAAAGAAAAGTTTAAAGCACTCCCTCTAATTAGACTAAAAATTAAATATATATATATATAATTCAAATTTTTTTAAAAATTACTTTTGATAACTTCCCTTATATCATATCACTCAAATACCTCAAGCATTTTATCTTAATAGGGTGTACTTTGATAATTTGTGAAATAATACAAATAACGCGAATTATTCCCATCTTTTATGGAATACAGGTCCAAATAAGATATTTTAAACAATTAGGTATGGTTTCTCATACGACTATGGCCACTTCAATTGAGCTAAATGTTCCGGATTCAAACATATTCAAATTTTTTAGACAAGCCTCAAATTTGAAAAGTTCCTAAATCCCTCTCAATTAGCCTCCATTGTTTTTTCACAAACTTGTATTTTTCTTCTATATTAAACCTATAAATACACAAAATACACGCCCTTGCCTCTTGACCCTGATATTAAACATGCTTAACCGAATTAACTTAAATATAATCTTTTGAAGTTTGGAGCTTGGAATATAAAATTACATGAAGGGAAAAGCACCCCTTTTACATCTAAATGAATGAGAAAGCTTAAAAGTAGGTAGCCGACAGGTAAAAAAAAAACTTATACATATGTGCAAGTCCAAAAGTACAGTTTTCAAAGAAGAATATGGGAGTTGCTTATCCATTAAGAACATTAATATAAAACATGATACTTATAAAAGCACCATTTGGCACTTATTCCATCCCTACACTTCAACTTTTCATTATTGCAATCCATGTCCTTCCCAGACTCTCCTAGGTCCCTCCTGCAAAGGAGCAGCCTTGGTAGCCTACAAAAACAAAGGTAACCATAAAGCATGCTCAAAACAACAATGAAGATTCTCACTGTTTTTTTTTTTCATAAATGAAAGAAAAAAATACTATGTTTTTAGGAAAATTTATACAAAAAAATACTTAAAATTTCATTAAAACACTTAAAATTTCTTTAATTTATTTTTGAAAATGTTGAAATTTCATAATTTAAATTTTTACTTGTTTATCAAAATGCACCTAAAATATTGCTGCTCATAATTATTGTCTTTTGATGGGATTTTTGAAGTTAATAAAAAAATGAGCATGTTGTGAAATAGTTCATTTCTTAAGTGCTTTTTCATAAAATTTCCTTATTTTTAAAAGGAAAATCTACTAACATACTTATAAAAGATGGACTATTTAACGTTCGATTTATATAATTTGATTGAATTTAAAAATACACCTCAAATAACATACCATCATGAGTTGGAATAAGGAGATCACAATTACTTATAGTCATCCGATGTGAAATCCGATAGCTTGAGTTTTTCATAAGGTTCAAGAAAATTTCTTTTGAATTTTGAACTTAGTCAATGAAATAAATGCAACCACCTAATTTCACATCGAATGATCAAGATCGATTGTGATCACCTTATACCAAAGGTAAAAGTCTGAATGTATATTTTTTCATATATATATAAAAAGTAATGATCCTATAGGACCTTCCCCCACCCATGTGTGTAGGACCTCAAATGATCACCATTAAAGTTGACATGGATCTCTAAAAAAATTATCATAAATTTTCTATAGATCCATGTCAAATTTAATGATGATCTTTTGAAGTCTTACGTAAATGGGTACAAATTTAATGATGATCTTTTGAGGTCCTACGCACATAGATGGAAAAAGATCCTATAAGATCATTTCAATACATCACTCTCATGGATATTTTGAAAGATCACCCATTTTAAACGGAGCACAATACCCTGATACCTTTCTACTTTGACAAGTTGTCGCACATCAAATGATATGAACAAGGGAAAGTGATCAAACAAAAGCTATGAGTAGTGTAATCACCTCCCAACCAATTGATGGAAGATAATGCAGGGAGAGAGGGACCCACCTCTTTGGTCATGTTTTCTTGTGGATCCCATTCTCCATTACCATCGATCAATTGACTTCGCTACGACCCAAACCATCATACTATACTTTTCCTAGGAGAAAATATTCTGCTTCAAAAACTATTAAAAAGTAAACAAAAAAATTCCTTTATTTTTCTTTGTTTATTTTCCAATGAAGGAGAGGAGAGAGATTTCAAGAGACTTGCATACTTGGATTTGTAGAGGTCAGAATAGCTGTTTGCTTAAAATCACAGTTCCAGGGATTTCGCGCAGACGTCTGGTACAGAAGATTCATGGCGTACGCCGCATGGGCGACGACCGTATTTGGCAAAAAGCATGCTCCGCCCGGTTGAAGGGCACTACAATCTATTCCCTGGCCACATGCATAGTCTAAATTGGCCTGAAGATCCGATTCTGACACACCTGCCTTAGGCATACACCATGTTCCAGCTTTCCCAGCTGAGGGAGAAGGATTCACTGAAGGAGAAGGATTTACCTAACAAGTAAAAGCCAACAATTATATTAATAACTAAGTATTCTTTTTAATATTTTTATACGATAAACTTGAGAATTTTTCGAAAACAATATACAATACATTATAATCAAAATTAAAAGGGTGCAATTGGCATACGCATGCATCCATAGCTGTAGAGGTAAGGTGTGCCTTCAAATTTTATCATGGTATATAATTTTGATGTAAAATATTGTCTGGATTATCTCAAAATCTATTTTTATATCTAATTATAAATTTTTAAATTTCAAAAATGGTTAAAATCAAGTATATCTATAAACATATGAAAATCTTGAAAATGGACGGTGTAGACAAATATGTTGTCAAATGTACTATTTTTGAGACTTAAAATCTTTTTATTTTTCATGGCCATACATCTTGATGTCGAGATGATCAATCAAAGGGTTTTTCAATATTAAAACTACCTTTTTCGATGGATTTTTTAGGTGCATCCGTAGCTCTACATTATAAGGTTGCAACCTTATATAAACTTTTTCCAAATTAAAAATATATCACACACGCACGCACACATGTAATCTATAATGGTACACTGCACATTACCTGTGTCCCCTTCTCTAAACCAATATCATAGGTCATGGAGAGGTCAGGCTTGTAGAGGCCAAAATGCCTCTCGGAAGAAGGCCCTCCCTTCAAATCCTCATCGAAAAGAGCGAAAATGTAAGTATCAGGTGACGTGTTGGGTCTCAATGGAGTCCCCACTCTTGATCTCAGATGCTTTATCAGGTTTCCATTGTAGGCCTTTGCATTCTCGAGGTTCGCTCCAACCTCATTGGGGTCCCCTTCATAAGCCCAACCAGTCTCTGCATTAACGACCTCCATGTCTCCGAAACCTTGGGCAGCAAGAGCGGAGTAAATGGCGTCCATTTGAGCATCAAACATGTTGTAGTATGTAATTTTTGTTGCAGGGTCGAAGCGACCTGTACAAAAAGTGAGAGAGAGACTCGTAATGAGGCCCATTGTAGACAATATATCACATGATTAATGGCCAAGCGAGCATGGTTCTGAGCCGAGCCAGGCCGAGTCCAGTTCAGGCTCGGAACTATGAGGCTTGAGCCTGGCCCCTTTTTGAAAACAAAAAGTAAAAAAAATAAATATAAATGGGGGGACGTCCCGGCTATTTATTACAAATGCGTAATTCATGTAAATTCATAATTCATATGTAAACTTATAAATTGCATCATTATCCGAACTTCATCCCAACTATTTGAAGAACTTGTAAAATTACATAATTAATATAAATTACAATATGCATATTCTATTAAAATTACATATAGCGAGGTCCTTCAGGTCTTAAGGCTAGGGACTGGGCCTGGCTGTCACCTGTTAATCTCGCGGGCCCGAAATTCAGGTCCGGCCCAGCCCAACGAGACCATGAAGGGGCTTGAGCACAAGGCCCATCAGGTGGCCCAGCTCATTTGCACCCCTACACACAAGGTCTAGCTCCTCACCTATTGTATGCTCCTCACCTGTTGTATGTTTTCATAGGAATTAACACAACCCTAACAAGGTAATGGGGTTGGGGCAATTGGTGGTTAGGGGGATGGGTGGCTAAACATAACAGCCCACCCCCCATTTGCACTGTTAACATTTGACCAAAAAAGGAAACAAGAAAAAGAATACAACCCTCGCAACCTGCCAATAATGTAGCAAAAGCAAAAGAGTGTGTCACACCTACCTGCATTTTGTTGGAAGAGACAGAAGGCAAGAGTTTCAGGCCTCGGGTCGCTCTGGTATGCGAAGTAAGGGTATGGGTTAATGGTGAAGGGGGCTCCAGTGTCATGGAGAAACCCAAGAACCTGCTTCAGCACTGAGAACAAACATGGAAGATTAATGTAAGGTTGGAAAGAGAGTAAAACACGCACACACTCTCTCTCTCTCTCTCCATCTTTAGGTGAAGAAACAGTAGGGTGACAACGGACCTGGACCTGACCCGGGTTGGGTATGGGTTCAAAAATTGGACCCGGCAGGTTGGATCCATGTGGACCTGAACCAAATACTGGTATTATTTAAATAATATTTAAATTTAATATATAATATTTTAATATAATCATATATTTTAAGTATAACATTTATAGGGTGTGGTTTGGAGAGTGCTTAGGCTCTAAACAATCAAATTAGAGCCTACCTTCAAATAGTGTCGAGAAATGTGGTTTTAATACGGGAAATCTTTGTGATAGCCTTAAAATATATTTTTCTATTTATTTATAAAGTTTAAAGCTAAAGAAATAGTGCAGATCAACAGATCTATGAAAACTTGAAAATCTTGAAAATTAATGGTCCAAAAATGTGTTCTCAAATGCACTATTTTCAAAACTTGAAATCCATTTTTTTTTTCTCATGTCCATGCATCTTGATGTCAAGATGAACAATTTGAAGATATTTGGGCATCAAAACAATCTCTTTTAATGAAATTTTCGAGGTAGGCTCAAATTTGATTGTTTAGAGCATCGGCTCTATATAAACTTTTCCCATATTTATATGGTAAATATTTAACATAAAATTTAAATATATTCAAATATATACGTATTTTTATTTTTAGGTTGGTTCCAATTGGGTTTGGGTCCCATAAGTTTTTTTCGGGTCCGGGTACCCCTAAGAAATAGCAAAGGGTCCCATAAGTTTTTTTCGGGTCCCTGGTACCCCTAGGAAATAGCAAAGGCTTCTCTCTCTCAGTGTTAAAATATAGGAAAGGAAAACATAGAAAATTGGAGGGCGAGAGGGAAATAAGTAAAACTGTAAGTATCCTTCTCTCTCTCTCTTCATAAATAAACAGCAACAACTTCTTTGTCTGTCTCTCTCTCTCTTCATAAATAGTGAATAAACAGCAACAACTTCTTTGTCTATCTCTCTCTCTCTTCATAAATAGTGAATAAACTGCATAAGCTTCTCTCGTGTTCTCTCCCATCAAGCAACATCACACCTCTGTCGCTTCAGGAATAGGTGAATAAAGAGGAAAAACTGTTGTCCATCTCTCTCATCATAAATAGAGTGAATGAACAGCAACAACTCTCAATTTTCTCTCTCCATGAGTGAATTAACAGCAAAAACTCTCTTCCTCTCTCTCCATATCCCTACCAGAACAAATAAAGGTAAAACTAGAGCACATCAAGATAAAGTTTCAGCTGTATTTTGAGGTGAATTTAAGCACGATCAATGGAGAAAAGGAGCAAAGTTTGGGTCAATTTTGGCTCAAACTTCGGTTAAAAGGAAAAAAGGTAAAAGGTGAAGTTTTCCTCATATTTAGGTTGATATTTTATTTAAAGGGAAAGCACAGAAATAATGAAGACAGTAGAAGTACAGAAATAATGAAGACAACAGAACTTCACATGGCAGCTCCATCTTAATTCCATTAGTGAAGCATTATGATGCTTTTGTTCCAAAATATTATATTGCAAAATGACAATAGGTAACTTTAGTAAGAGCTATGCTTCTAAAAGAACAATGGTATTTTTATAAATATAAAATTGATTCAATATATTTCAGTGTGGCACCGATAGGTCATATGTGTGGCTCACATTCAAGTAGAAGGCTAAAAAAGAATAAAAAGTAGGTCTAAAAGACATGATTGGAAATATTGAGAAAAAATAAGGACTTATAACATAACTAAAATCCCAATTAATAATTAAAAAAAGACTTTGAAAACCATGATTCAATATAACATTAACATTCACTTAACTAAAAGGTTGTTTAAGCTATAAGGTGTGCACTTAAACCAAATACTTAAAAGTCTGGAATTCACTGATATTTTCGAAATTAAAGGACCGTTCTTTTTTTTTTCCAATAGTAGAAATCGAAATAGAGATGGAGTGTTGCTTGACTTCTTATCAGTAACCACTAAAGCTCAAGTCCGGTTCTTGAACAAAGGAGAGTTAAATATAGAGAGGGATACCTTGGAGATCAGGGTTGAAACGGCCTGAAGATGGTGGGGCCGACTGGGAGAGCACAGCCATGGAATGGACGGTGGTGACCTTGATCTTGTCGGCAAGCGACGCCCCTAAGAGCGCCGTGTGGAGGTTCTGCATTGCCGGGATGATCTGTGAGATCAAATTCTGATCGTTGGATGTGAGCACCTCGTTGCCGACCGATATCGCGACGATCTTGCTCGCCGGATAGTACGGGAGCACGTTGGTATTGATCCACTGCTTGGCAGCCGTTGGATCGTTGAGGGAGGCGATCTCACCATTGGCTGCGCCGATCATTATGCATATGCCTGAATTGGCGAGTGCACGGATTATGGCTGCATCTGCGCCATACAATCTGACCTTTGCGATCGACGTCGATTGGAGGAGCTTGACGGCCACAGATGGAGGGGGTAGGTTGTCGGCAGACTCGCCGTAGTTTATGCCGATGAACGACTGTGATTCTGCAATGAAAATCCATTTCGAGACGTTTCTTAGATAGAGAGAGGGAGAGAGAGAGAGAGAGGAAAATTAGAAAAAACACTGGGTTTTGTTTTTGGTTTAAGATTAACAGATTTAGAGAGAGAAAGAGAGAATTTTGCCGGGACGGAGAAAAGAGAAAATTTTGTTTTTCGAGTAAGCTTAACAGAACTAGAAAGAGAGAGAATGAAAATCAATTTCGAAACGTTTCTTAGAGAGAGAAAGGAAAATTCGAAGAAACACTGGGTTTTGGTGTTGGTCTAAGATTAACACTTTAACAGATTTAGAGAGAGAGAGAGTTTTGCGGGAATGGAAAAGAGAAAATTTTGTTTTTCGAGTAAGCTTAACGGAACTAGAGAGAGAGAGTTTTGCAGAGTAGGGAAAGAGAGAAAATTTTGTTGTTGGAGTAAGCTTAGCAGATTTCTAGAGAGAGATAAAGAGAGATTGATAAACAATGAGATTTGCAGGGGTGAAACTAAAAGAAAAAAGAGTACATTTTGTTGTTGGAGTAGTAAAGCTTATCAGAGTTCTAGAGGCTAGAAAGCCATTTAGACCTCCTAAAAAAATCAAATTTCAGAGAAGCGAGATGAAAGGACCCTTAAAATATTCCTAGAGAGAGAAGTTGTGGAGTGGTAAAACAAATTTTGGAGAAGAGACATGAGAAAACCCTTAAAAATCTCCTAGAGAGAGAAAATTCTGGAAAAGTAAAACAAATTTTGGAGAAGAGAAATGAAGGTGCCCTTAACAACTTCCTAGAGAGAGAAAATTCTGGAGAAGTGAAAGTTTTGAAGAGAAAAACAAGAAATTCAGAGACCAAATTGGTAGATAGCCATCGAAAGCAAGTGAAATTTTCCTGATAAAAGAATTCTAGAGAGAGAGAGAGAGAGAGAGAGCAGAGAGTTATGTAGGAGCGAAATTGAAAGGAACCCAATGTAGATATCTACGACATGAAATCCTAAAACCATTCCAGTGACCAAACAGCCACAAGTTCCCACTGAGAATTCCCTGTAAAACAAATTCTAGAGAGAGAAAGAGAGTTCTGGAGAAGTGAAACTAATAAAAATGCAGATTTAGTTCTTGAATTAAGCTCTAAAGGCAAAAGAGAAGGTAAAAAAGGAAATTTAATTAATTTCAAGTTTTCAACAAATTTTCAGCCCGAAATTCAAAAAATTACTCCTTTATGGCATATAAATTGCAGGAGATTTATGTTGGGGAGAATTCAAAGGAAAAAACAATGAAATAAATTAAAAGAAGGGAAGGAAAGACGGTAGAAAGATCACAACTTACTTGCACATTGAGAAGCTTGCAAAATGGTAAGAACAATTAGACAAATTATTCTGCAATGAAGGATAGCCATGGCCTCTCTTTGCTTACTTTCTCTCTCTATTGATGATCAAAATGATTGAATTCAATGAAGCATAGAGAGAGATATAGAGAAAGAGAGATCACTGAAGAGGGAGCATAATTGAAGTCAATGGAGGAAAGATGTAGAAATAGAAATAGAAATAGAGAGAGAGAGAGAGAGAGAGAGAGAGAGAGAG